AAAGCCCTGAGACATACTGTGTATAGTTAAAGGCTTTCCAGTAAACCTTTCTTGAATAAGAACCATAAGCCACAAACTCCCACATTTGTTTGCCTGTAGAGTCGTGCATTCATCTTATTTTATTTGCAGCTGACGGGAATACGTTGATAAGTTTGAAGAAATACAGAGAGCCGCACTGTAAACCCTCTTGGTGAGCTTGCCCTTTTCGTATTAGACACGACTCAGCAGCTCCTTTCTCGGGGAGCTCGTCAGCTCAGCTTGTTCAGAGTTAATGCTGCATAAATAAATGTGACTGGTAATTGAAAAAAAAAAAGTGACTATGCCAGATCAACCATTTTCAATTTGAGCCCAGTGAAGCATCGTCTGAGATTGGTTATTTGTTCTTTCGTGATCATTTGTTTTTGCATGGCTGAATCCCTCATACCATTATTCAGATCTACATGACCACCAATCCCATTCTGTGGCAGGTATGTCCTCCAAACCTGTTCAGTGGATAATTTTTTATTTCAATGCATCTACTTGTGAAAGTCAGAGATTGCATGATTTAATTAGTGTAAAGAAAGTAATGTTAATCAATAACCAATACTTCACTTTAGTGGACCCCTCACAGTTCCTGTAGGGATCAGCAGATGGCAGTCAGTTCTACAACTGTTGTTTCCTACTTTGACCACTTGGTGGCAGTGTTTCTTCCTTTCCAGATTGGTGTTACCTCAATTTTCCACAGAGTTTTGTTGTCAGTGTTGTCACTAAATGTCACACGGCTTTTTTCTCCAGTTTTTAGACGTCATAGACTATAAACCAACCACCAATATTTAAGTACAAGGCCAGTCAGAACACTGGTTAAGCACAATCAAATACTAAATCTGTTTTTAACCATGTGAAATGATAATTTACCATTGTATAGGTAAGTTAAAGTAGCCCATCTCAGCAGAACAGGCTCAGTGTAACCGTATGTGTTGGCTCTGTCCAGGTAACCAGGTCCTGCAGTTTGGGAAACTGGTGAGCACCTCCAACACCTATGAGCCCACCACCCCAGGAGAGCCCAGGAACCCGGTGACGGTGACCACTGACCAACCTCTGCTTTGGAGCATGGGGATCCGTACAAAAGCAGAGTAACTCAAAAAGTCCCTGTGGACGCCGACCAGTCAGAACGTGTCGTTCAACGTGCCATTTACGAGGTAGAAAAAGGCAAAAGCACCATTTTCCTGTATCAAAAGTATTTTTCTGAATAGAATGTCTTAATGTTAAAGCTGAAGTAATCTCAAATGGAAGAGAACAATTCAGAACTTCTGAATTAGTTTCCAGCATGTGCCTTTTTCACTGCCAAACAGATCCTGTTTGGCAGTGTCCTGTAACAGTTAGATATAAAAGGATAAACAAATATGGAAGACGAGCAGTGCCTGGTTTTAGCATTTGTGCCTTGTGATGCGTTTATTACAGCCCTTCTTAATGTCCATAAATGAAAGGGAGAGATCAGGCTTCAGCTTTCCAATTGTTTTTATTTACACAACGACATAAATGTTGAGCACAGAATGTAAAAATGGCATCTTTTCAGTTCCCCATCAACCCAGCCCACGAACACCTTCAGCCACCATCCTGCTTTGGAAGCATTTAACCACCACTAGAAAGAGAGGGGGAAAAAGAGATCAGTGTTAGCAATTTGTGCAGTTTGAATGAACACCAATAACCAAACCTAAATGCTATTTCCGAGATCAACTCTCCAAAATACAATAATTGAATTGAATATTGTGACTCATGAACAACTGCACTTTTTTTAATCTAGTCTCCCATTTCAGAAAACCAAAACGATTGCACCAGTGTCGTAACTTTTACTCTTTGAGTGTTTTTGTAATATCTTTATTCATGGAAAGACTGCTCAACTGTGAAGAATAAAAAGTTTTTTCAAATTTGAGCACTTGCGTGCACCTTTTCTATTAAGTATTTTGATTGCTTAGCGTTTGTCCCTTTTTTATACCAATTCTGAAAGGAGAAGACTGTTTTTGATCAGTGCATCTGAAGTTTTGCGTTTTACCAATATCAAATATTGAGACAGAACCTTTGAAGGGGCTCTACAGACAGAAAAGACCTTATTACGCTTTACTTACACAATGATGTTGTTGATGGGGATGTGAATGAGCTTGACAAAGAATCCAATGAAACCCATGATGGCAAACCCGATTGCTGTGGCCATGGCGATTTTCTGAAATTCTGAAGGGACAAAAAAAAAAATCAAATGAAAAAAAAAAAAACTCCCAAGATACAACGAAAGGCGAATCAGCTGTGTGCCCCGAAGGCTCATATTGGGCCGTTTTAAACAGACCAGAGACAAATATGTGCAGTTAATTCTTACCTTTCCTGTCGGGTTTTGTGCACCTTTTTACAAGCCTTATGGAGTCTTTGACGAACTGCCGGCTGGGCTCAACAAACTGCGTTACCTGATCCATGTCGTTTGAGCTGCAGACGAAAACAAAACGGAGGTCAGAATTAAAGCTAATTACGCAACAGAGTTGATGATAACGTTAGCAGCGTGAGCATTTCTAATGGCACCAAGAAGCAAATAATCATCAATATGCTATACTTCCCTCCCTTTCTATACCACTTACCACTAAACGAAGAAATACGTCGTTATTAGTGTGAGACGTACATTAAATACATCAACAATAGTCTATAAGAGTAGACAACGCTAACCAAATACAAGCTAGTAATCACGTCGAATTAGCGTCGTATGTAAAGACCAAAATAAAAAGTGTTAAAGCTTTCAGTTATTGCTATTGGTTCGTTTTCCTAAAACAAATCATCAAAATGAAAACTTAAAAAAGATCAACAGTACCTTTTAGTTTGTCTGTTTCCGACGTGGCGCTTGGTCTGAAGACAGTCAGAGGAATCAGAGCCACGTAGCTTTCCTACAGCTTGGTTAGGATGGAAGAGCTAAGAGCTGACGTAGATTTAAATGGCGCATGCGTAGAAGCTCTTTCTTTTGCACATAGTATTGTCTACACTGCCATCTACAGGTAGGGAGGATTGCACACATGCTGCACACTATAACACGTTTTTACTGACTTTTTTTCTAATTTGTAAAGATTGTGTCATAAAAATGGGTAGAATAGGACTTTCAGATCTTAATTATTTGAGGGCCTGAAAAATTACACATACAACATTTTTCCCCCTTTTGTTCCTACGCATTCATGTTCATTGTCCATTTGCTTTGTAATGTTTATTCTCATGGAAAAGCTAAAAATAATTAAGCTCACAATATCGCTGTTTGATCATGTGTTATCAAACACATGATAACTTTCTGTGTTTGTACAATGCATGTCAGTATATAATGCAGTTATGATGTAATTAAATCATACTGAGATTGATTTAAACTAACCCTCATCTACTTTAAATCAAGGAGTTCTGAAACATCACAAGTGTGAGACCGCCCGAAATTTGAGACAGAACATTAGAAAGGATAATATCTTTCAATAGATAATTACTCAAAAGAATAAAATAGAAGATTGTGGAAATCACAAAAAGCAGCTATTCAATGTGAGACACAGATAAAGATTCAACAAATATTCCAAAGGGACTTTTTTCTATTTAACAGGAGACAAAGCCAGTTTCTAAGACTTTACTTTTTCTTGAAAATACTACAGCTCAGCTCAGTGACTAAAAGTCGACTTTTTTAAAGAACTTTTTATTTTTTTAGGCACTGTTACAACAGGACAAAACATTAGTCTCTTGTAACCACACTTCTTATACAAACCACATTCCTTTGGTAATCAGTACCAAGTCATGTGGTTTAGATTAAGACTCATAGTGATTTATGCTGATATTTTACTTAAACACTCTCTCTCTCTATTATACTTACACTATGGTGTACCAGTAGCAGGATTGCACAGTTGCTTTTCTTGATTGTTGCAGTCACAAACCGATCGCAGAGTTAGAGTTAGTTATCTTATTGAGTGATGTTGACTTCAAGGCTTAAAGGCTTCATAGCTTTCATTTCTAATCTATTGAATCTGACTTAATGCTGTAACTTTTTGCATTCACATCAGTCATACTGACAGAAAGCAGAAACTGAAATACATTCAGTTGTAAGACACAATACAGCCCGGCAGTATTTTATGTGTAATCTTTACATGTGGCAAAGTTTCTACATAACATATTTCTAATCTCTAAAGGTTTGGTTTGCTGCCTCCATACAAATCCATTCTGATTAAAATCCTAACACATTTTGTTGTAATCTGTAACACAGCCACATGTGTAGAGCAATGATTTGAATTACAAGGGCAATGTCAACTGAAAAGGAGTGATAATTAACCTTTATAGGCTGTTCTATAGCCTGTATATGAGGTCAGACGGTTGTTCAGTGAGCATCGATTCCGAGATTGCAAAGTGAAAATGTATGAGTAAGGTTGATGCCTCAATTCTATTCCATCCAAAGCAGGACGATGTGTCAAGATGGAGCCACATCCTCCCTCTCAATAGAACCTAATCTAAATAAAGATTGCTCTCACATCAGTCAGGAAGTTTACTTAAAATAGATAATACAAACAAATTGTTCTTTGACAATGTGCAGTTCTACTAACAGAAAAGAACCTCCTTTATACATGAATACCCATCATGCATTTTTTATGATAATACTGTGTGGTTACAACACATGATTTGTCCTTGATAATATATAAAACAAAGAAGAACTTTGGAGCTGTTTGTTGTTTTTTTGTTTTTTTTGGATTCTACTTTACGTTGAGTCATAAAATACAGCATTTTTACAAGAGTAACCGACAGCTCTATAAAAGTGCTTAACAGGGCTTGTGAAAGGTGATGTTTACACAGTGCCATTCGCTGCACAGTTAATTTTCCAGGATCTATGGCCAGGTGAGGCCAAGCATGTTGCAAGTGACCTCCCACAGCTTCTGGGCCAAGTCGTCATCTGCGGCATTCCTTGAACATCTCGCAGGGGCGCAGTCGCTGAGCAAAAACAGGACGAGAGAGAAGTCAAATGTGTGACGGTTAAAAAAAGGAATAAAAACCACAGTAAAAGCATAAAACACAATAACCACAAGGTGCCTCTTTGCTTGTTGGTGGCCTAAAAGCTTTTTCTTCTGTCTGAGCATTGCATTTGTTTTCTTTTACTAAAAGTTACCTGAAGTACCCTCCGCTCAGGCTCTCCAGACCTGGCTCTACAGCGCAGTAGATGGTGGTCTGTGCTCCCTCCACTGTTGTCTTGGTAAAAACCCTGAAGATCTTGACTGCCACCTGGATGCACTGGTGCTGGTGCCTCCACAGGTCAGACTGGACCACCCCCGGGTGAAGAGAGAACACACTCACGCCTGTGCCTGCAACACATGCACAGGCACCTACACGGTCATCTTAAAAAAAGGCAGTTTATAAGTGCAAATCGCACAAAAGTGCATGATTTGTCTGACTTTTTCCAAACTGTTTATTGTTCTCTATCTCATCTCTTGGTCATCTAATTCCACCCATCCCTGGGATGGCTAAGGCTTAATCTTTAATTTCGTCAAAACGCTACCTACCTTGTAACCTCTTTGCCAGAGAGCGTGCAAAGAGGACATTGGCCAGCTTGCTCTGCCCGTAGGCCTTCATGGTGTCGTAACTCCTCTCGCTGTTGATGTCGTCCAGTCGAAGCCCGGTCCAGGTGTGGGCCACCGATGCCACCACAACGATGCGGGCGGGAGCCGAACGCTTGATGAGGTCCAGTAGCAGGTAGGTCAACAGGACATGGCCTGTGGAAAATCGTCTCACTTAACCTCATTGTCTCAGTGGCTGATTGGATCGAAAGCGTTTGAAGAGGGTCATAGACCTCCCTCATTCTCACATGAAATCACACAATCCTAAATCTCTTTTTATCCCTTAGACCTAAATTATGCACAAACTCCCAACATTCGTGTGCTAATTCAGCCTCGTTTCTGGATAGATGAAGGCATCTCTCCTGAGACAGAAAGTTTAGATAATAGGAAACCTGTTTTCGAAGGACATTCAGTGTCATTCATTCTGATCCAATGGAAAAACACAGAAAAACCTGTTAGAAACTTCTTTCTTCTCACGGAACACATTCACAACAAGTTCATGTGTGGGTGGACCCATTGGCAGTTTTAACTACCTACTATTGTTCTCCATTTCCTGTTTTAGGCTTAACTTAAGCAAAATTCCTATTTTAAGTTCCCATGCGCATATACAAAGAGGGATGTTTGGAAAAGTAGGAGCGTATGTGCCCGTGTCCCTTTGTGTGTCTGTGGACGTCCGTATGTGTGTGGGTGACAGTGTTGGAGCACAGCGTGATCACACTGACAGCCTGCGACAAAAATAACGCAGAGGAAAACATCATCTGGAGGGAAGTCATGGTCTAATACGCGTTTGAAAGCTCTGACAGCCTGAAGAAAGCAGCAACTTCAGATTATTTCCTGGCTAAAGGGGGTTGGTCAGGGTAGTGCTTTTGACAAAATAAACGATGAGTAAATTTATCAAACAGAAAAAGAAAACAAACCTATATAGAAAATCATTTAAAAAGCAGAAGTATTTACCCAAATGATTGACTCCAAACTGCATTTCAAACCCATCAGCTGTTTTGGAGTAGGGACACATCATGATGCCCGCATTATTTATCAGGATATTCACCTGTTTCTCCTCTGAAAAAGCACACACCACAAAAAGTAAGAATTAGAATTTCAAGAAGTTGCGAACCCACACGTAATATTAAATGATTAATAGTAAATGGGTTGTTTACATTTCCAGAGTTTTCTACAATATGTCTTAGCCCTAGCCAACCCATTTTTAAATGGAAATGTGTTTCTGGCACTGGTGTCCATCATGTGTTGACAGTTTGTGTCCCACCTCTGTTGATGACGTCAGCAAAGGCCTTGATGGACTTCAGGTCGGACAGATCCAGTTTCCTGATGACCAAATTCTCATTTCCGGTGTCCTCCAAGATGTCGCTCCGTGCTTCCTCTGCCCTCTCTAGGTCTCTGCACGCCATAACGATACGGGCACCTAAAAAGTGGGGGCCAGCAACAACCGGGTGACGTGTATATTTGTCACATTCTCCCCATCCCTCAAAATGTCTCAGCCCAGCTCAGGTAAGTATGATACTAGTTGTTTGTGTACACAGCCCTACACTCACTTACTCAGGTGGTTCTGGCAGCTTTTATTACAGGCAATACACTACCTTAATGTAAAAATTAAGCGCGGTATATTTATATAAATCACAGATTCAAAATGTTTCACATTAAAGTGACAGCCGAAGCTTTGCTCACTCGTAGGCGCACAAAGATAACACCATAAGTAATGAAGTCTCGCAACCCCCTGTGTGCTCCTCATAATCCTCTAATGGTTTCTAAAGTCTTGCTCGGGATCTCATTTAGTCAACTGCTTCACTTGCAGGAACACAGGGCTCTCTGAACTGAACTGTGTCATTTTTTATTCGCCGCCGACACAGATTACCACTCGTTCTCCTTAATGAGCACAAAGAGGGGTTTTGAGGACACGGGCACACAACCTTTTCTCTCAGCCAAACACAAACATTTAGTCACACCCACTAAAGTAACATCCAGAGACAGCCCCCCCCCCTCGCCCCCCCACCCCCCGCCCCCCACCGGCTCCACATAAAGTCACGCACACATACAAAATAGCTGCTGTGCCCGGCAATTAAGAAAGAGGGCAGCCATTAATCAGTTGGAGCACAGTTTCCGTGTCCCATCACTGTGTCTTTGTTTCTATCCTGCAGCTCCCATGTGACAAAACCCAATTGTTCCCACATTTCCATAGTACCAAGAGTCATTTAACCGAATGAAACCTAGTGGATCACCGAAAAAACAGAAGCATACTTTACCCTAAACCATCAGATAGTGATTTAAAAAAAAAAAAAATCTGCCCTAGTACTTCCAGACTTGTTAATAATTAGGATAATAATGGCATATGTTTCACTTTGTGATAGCATCATATTGACCACAACACCAGTATCTTTTTAACCAACGAAAATATCATGCGGCAGCCCCCAGATCCAGCTGACTTATGAATCTGTGTAAATCTAATCACGCTGTCATCATGTCATTGCACAGTCCCATTTACTGTAAGATGATCCTATTATTTGACTGCGAATCCTGCAGGAGCAAGAGGCTCGATACCATTAATTCTCTCCCGAGGCCATGGTTCTTTTTGTGCTGTCTCCTTCCTCCTTTTTTTTTTTCTCCATTCCTCACATTGTTTCTGTAGTCATTTGATTTATAACAGCAGAGATCATTTTTTGGTTTACATCATCAAATGGGGAAAAAAAAAAAGTCCCACTTGCATTTTCATGAACAAAACAAAGGCGATTTATTGCAAACACCCTCAAACGCATTAGTAGTAGCTTGTGAAAAGTGTCTGGGCTTTACCTCACACAGTGCCTTAGACGAATAAACAAATCTAATCTATTGCAGCACTTTTTATATTTCTTACTGGGTTTGTGTGTGCACATGCATGGCTGCACCCTCCAGTCTCTCTTTGTTGTCTGTCTGGCTCGGGAGGGAAGCAGACCCTCACAATGCTCCCTCTGTCTCCTTGACGCCTCATTTGCTTTGCATCACTGCCATTTGTCTATCACTCAGATTGGTAAAATGTTTCAAGGTGGCAAGTGCAGATAACTTTTTCTAACTTTTTCCCAATGCTTTTTAGGCGTGGACCAGATTTTAAGGTATTTCGAGGTTCTGTAATATCCTGATATAGCTGATGTTCCCCCTATATAGAATGATATTCAAGTAGACAGAATAAGCCCGATTAACAGATAAAAGATACGCCCAATAACTTTAAATCATTTACGGATAATGAGTTATTTTAAATATGAGGAAAAGAGCGGAAAAGAGTCTTTAAAAGCCAAAGTTTGAGAGTCAGTGACAACAGCGGATACAGATACAGATCAGCACCAGTGATCCAGATTTGGACAGACACACACAGATCAACTGTACCTCTCTTTGCCAAGTCCCTGGCAGTTTCTTTGCCAATGCCAGTGTTGGCTCCCGTGATGATGACTGTTTTCCCATCTAACCTCTCCTCAGATGTCCAATGGTGACAGCAACCACTCCTGGATGGCACACAGCATTAAACATAGCAGGTCCTCACTCTCATCATGTGTACAATGAAATTTAGGAAACATGCAGGAAAACAGACATCAACTAACATCATTGAAAGGCTAAATATAACACAAATACATTTTCAGTTCCACCGTAATGAGTAAATGTCTAGTTTATAGTTAGGATAGGTAACAGTGACTTTGTAATAACTGTTTTCTACTTAAATCTAGCGCAAATAGTAACTAGTCTATTAACACCAAACAGCCGATGGCAGCAGAGTAATTTAATCCGCCTAACATTTTTCACATTCCTGTTAGTCCTGAGGCCAGCTGCCAAATCTTTCAGCTTGTAGAAATGTTTTTTGTTTCTCCTACCTGCAGTACATTTTTCCTCGGCAGCAACTGATTTCCACTTTCGGATCGGTGAAAAGAGCCGCGCACCTCCTCCAGCCCTCATCCAACAGTTAATCAGCGGGTTTCGTGCCTGTCATCTCTCCCCTCCCCGCCGGGTTTGTTTCCCAGCTCACGACCGGTCCAATCACAGGCGAGATGGTGCATAATTGATTCACAAGTTCCAGGCTGTGGAACAGGCGGCTCTCCTGCTGTGGAGGGAGCGCACCCCAAAAAAGATCCCCCATTTTGTTTTGCGCAAAAAAATCAACTCATCCCCATTCCGCGCCGCAGAAAGTGGGCATTACTAATGATTACGATAAGATGCATATAAGATCAAGCTTGATCTAAAATACGAGCTTTTTTCTTTTCTTTTTGGATTGGAAAACTGCAGCATTGTTTTCCAGCCACAAGAGGTCTTCCCAATTACTCAGGGGGCCTGGGGGGGTCCAAAGAATTTGCTGTCAGTTACATAGACTGATCTCAACTACATGTGTAACTTACACAAAAAGGGGCCAAATAACCTCAAACAAGACTAAATTAAAAAAGCAGACAGGCAAAAGATTAAAGTAAAACTTAAAATTATTTCAGAGAACACACTCATATTGTCAATAACACCCCCAACATGCACTATTACCATAACTTAACTACTAAGAGGTGAAAATGGTTAATATAATATGACAAAGTAACTATAATTTAAAAGTTATGCAAAGTTACCACAAAAAATACAAAATGGACCTAAAATAACGCATAATGGCAAAAAAAGATTAAAAAAATGAACTCATTCAAAGTAATGGGAATATTCTTTATTTATCTTATTGTCTTATACAAGTTTACTAAGCATTGACTCTCATTCTAATTCTACATGTCAAAACATTGCAATATCATATCAAACCTGCCATGACCTTTTTTTCTCTCCCTACACAGATCAAATCATTAATCACATGCGTGATATTCAGCTCAACTGTGATGCCTCTGCATAAAATAACGGCTCGTATGTGTGTTGCTCCTCGGTGTGGGGGGGAGCTGTTCATCTCCAGCGGATGCCTAGCAGGTGGCAGCTCACGGCCCACAGCTTCAAGGCGGTGCCATCGTCCTGGCCTGCCCTGCAGCTGTCTGCATAGCCGCAGTTCCTGCAGCAGCACAACAACAGGCACTTCAACAACAGGTATGGCCTCTATTTATGGCATCTTTATTGTTGAAATGAAATGCTTCTGTATACGTCATTAAGTCGTCGTTTTATGCTCCTTTGAATGCATTTACTTTCCCCAGTGTTTCTCACATGTAAGAGAATATTGTGCATCATTTCTTATATCTCTGGTGAAACTGCACCAACCAGATCAAGAAATAACTTTTCTCTGGTGTTTCAGAGCCTAAAAATTATGATTTGACTTACTTCTGTTAGCAGAGGGGGTATTGTTCGTATAATTTCATTTCAAACTGACCTGTAGAACCCACCAGTGACCAACTGTTTCTCTGGAGTAACGGTGCAGTAGATGGTGGTGTGAGCTCCCTCTGCTGGGGTCCTGATCAGGAAACTGAAGGTCTTGACTATGTCCACTAGAGGGCGCCTCATGTGCCTTGTGATCTCAGTGTTCACCACACCAGGGTCGACAGAGAACACCATGATGCCTATGGCTGGAAGAAGGGGGGGGGGGGGTGTAAATCAGCAGCAGAAGACCACCTCTGCACTGACATGTTCACTCTGAAAATCTCTATTAGATTTGAGAATTAATCGTAAATACATAATCACACCATTGTTACTGAAAATGTCTGCCCGCTCTGTTTCTAGCCCAGAGCCACAGTGGCTCAGACATGAGACTCTCACACTGGCAAAAGATACAGATCCCTTTTTTTTCATGGATATGAGACCAAACTGAAGACACAGTAAGGCTCACACAGAATAAACCATGTTTCCCCAGCCACACATCCTACCCTCGGTCCTTTTGGCCAGCTCCCTGGTGAATAGCACGTTGGCTAGTTTGCTCTGAGCGTAGGCCCTGACGGGGTGGTAGTGCTTTTCTCCGTTCAGGTCGTCGAACTGGATCTTTCCCATGGCGTGAGCGGCTGATGACAGGTTGATAACGCGGGATGGCGCAGAGTGCTTCAGCAGGTCCAGCAGGAGGAAAGTCAAAAAGAAGTGGCCTGAGGAGGCAGAAATCAGTGTGTTCAGAGCATTTTACGGACTTAAGTTAGTCTCTTTTTTTTTTTAAAAAGAGGCAAGCAGAAAAAAAACACCGTCTAAGTGTTAAAGGCAGAGAAATGAAAGAAAACAGGTTTGTGATTTGTTCAGTCCCTATGTATTTCCAAACAGTTGGGCTTAAAGCCAACCTTAAGAATGAGTAAACTTTCTGTATATCCTTTTTTTTATTTCATACCCAGGTGATTGACTCCAAACTGCATCTCATAACCATCCACTGTCCTGTCATAAGGACAAATAGCCACGCCAGCATTGTTGATCAGGTAGTGAAGAGTCTTTTCCGCTGGAAAACACATTGTTTGTTAGAGTTTTTTAGACACCAAGTTTTCGCTTTATTCTCTGATGATGTGTGTGTTTGACCCACTGTTGTAGATGTTCTCAGCAAACAGACAGATTGACTTGGTGTCAGCCAGATCCAGCTGCCTGACGACTAACTTGGCTCCGCTCACATCCCTCATGATGTCAGAAACAGCCTGTTCTCCTTTATTCGTGTCTCTGCATGCCAAAATCACCCGAGCACCTACAGACGAGAGATTTATTCCTCATAATGGTGAGGGAGTTTACATGTCCATGCACGCTGAAATGTGAACAGTATAATAGTTTTTCTCCATAAGTAACAGTAGTACTTCTAATTGATATTGGTCTGTTAATAATTTTGCGATTTTTATATTTTCACTTTGAGCTTTACAAAAACAGTGAGGTAAAAAACATCTAATAAATTGGATTATGGCCACTTTTAAATGTATGAATGTGTTTGCTTGCCTCTTGCAGCCAGGTCTCTGACTGTTTCTTTGCCTATTCCAGTGTTGCCCCCTGTTACTATAGCAGTTTTGCCATCCAGGCGCTCATCTGAGGACCATTTGGAGAAGAACAGAGACCTAAGAGACAAGGGACGGGTTTTAAATAAGCAACAGGTAACTCGAAAAGCCTGAGTTCAATGCTATAAACATCAGTTAGCCGTTTGCTGTCTGTATCTGCTTTTTCCTGGTTGTGATTTTCTAGTTGAGACATCTCTTACCTGATAGCTTGCATTTCTGGTGTTTGTCAAAAAATAGTCCTAAATTCCAGGTAAATATCTTTTCGTTTCGCCAAGGACGTTTCAAGGCTCAGGTCCAGCGACGGGGCTCAGAGGATGTTGCCGAACTCAGGGAAGTAAAAAAGTTTTCCTTTAAATGGTTTAAAGTACATTGGATTCTGTCATTTGGTCTGAATGCTCCTCTGTTCAAAGTCTAAATGCTCCTCTGTTCAAAGTCTTCTGATTCGTTATTGTAGCAAATCAATTATCGCTGAATTTCATATGAAAATCTGATGAGCAGTCACATGTCAGCTGAGGGTGTACAGTGTTTCTGGGAGACTACAGCACAGACAGGGGTTTTTGTTTCTTGATAAAATGTCCCATTCAGAACAAGTTCTGAAGAACAAATGAGAGTAACAGGGGCACCTGAACTTGAATAATCCAGGTGTCCTTATAACATATTAAGCAAGCCACAGTTGAAAGAATGAACCTCCAGTCAATTATTTTTGCAAAAACACAGGACTTGAATGTCAAATCGTTGCCGTTATCTTCAAAGTAACAAGAAACGGCCTCAGCTAACTACGCTCAGCTGTCAAGGTTCTCTGCAAGTGTGCAGGAGAAATTCAAAACCTTGTTCCACAGGTGAGAAGATTGTAATTTCAGCATTTCATTGAATTTGGGTTTTCTGGTGCTTTCCAGGGGGTGTGCATTGTTAGCTTGAGTACATTGGGCTGTTACCCCCAACTGCTGACTGTGATAGTGTAACCCTATGAGTCCAGATGAGTACTCAAAGGTGGGTTTCCCCTTCTTCAGATACAATTCAATTCATTTTAAATGATAATATTTGATAGTTGAGGATGTGAGACCAAACTTTTGAATGTTGTATATACATCTAAAAGCAGATAAAGCTGTCTCACCTACTTCCATCAAACTCCTTTCTATTCCAGCCATGCATCCTTCTATACCCACGTCTTCCTGCTCAGGATCGTGAGGGCCAGCGCCCATCCTAAATGGCAGTCCATCAAGTAGTTTTTTCATTCCACTGTATGAGTTGAGATACAAGGAAAGCAGAGGTAAGCAATTTCAGTCACATCCATTGTTTTTAGTCTTTAAAATAACCTATGGAACTAAGTATATTTGTGATTTTGTTCATTTTAAAACAGTTTTCTTTATGTTTATTGGTGGCATTCCAAGTTAAACCTTCTAAATCTCTTTAAAACTGAGTGGATAAAATCTCATTGGGGACTAAAATTTTCTGAATGTAAATCATTCCCTTTATGGGTAACTGTAAGCCCATAAAATCAAGGCTACACTCTGCATTGAAACAAAATCCACGTCTCAACCCACACCAACAAAGAATTACTTGTTTGTCATTTGTTTGAGATTTTATGTCCTACGTCCTCCTTACTTGGATTCACCACTAGGGGGCAGACTCTAGCTACCAGCATTGATTCAACACTTCCTGCCCACCTTCACCCTTCTCTCACACATTAAGGCTGAAAGGAAGAAAAAAATAAATAAATAAAAAGCTGCAATCCTTTACTCTACAGTCAGGCCCAGCCATCACTCATGTAAACCATGTGAAAGCTAGTCATAACTTCCTGTTTTCCCAAACAACCATAAAATAAGCTGAGACGAGACGCTCATGAGCGCATACTGCAAAAGCGCACATACAGGCACACGTAAACATACTCCTGCTGACCCAAACCAGGCCCAAATGAGCAGTGCCAGCTCCTCTCATGTGGTCTGTGTGTGACGCTGGCTGCTCTGCAGTTTCTCCTCACAGCTGCTCGCCATCCCCTGGCCTGATGAAAGGCCGCCTATCTGTCAACACTGGGACAAAGATGGAGAGGCCTCGCCACACATGTAATTAGCATTGCTTCACAGAGAGATTGTAGATCACCGAGAGCAGATCGGCGACTCTTTAATTTGAATTTGTCGGCCCCCTGAAATAGGAAAGTCGACAAAGGGGGCGAAACCGTAGCATGCGAGACGAGACGCAAGCCACCTCTTAAAAGAATTAAGACGCGAAACAGATTTGATTTCAAATCAAAATAGTCTTTCATTTCTTTATTGCAACGAGTTTGATTCGTATGTACATGATTTTGTTTTATGCTGATTCGTTCAAGCTGGTGAAACTGTGAGTGAACAGCTCTTTATTGTCTGAGAATGTGCGCTTCTTTGGCCAGCTGTCAGCATCAGCATCACCTATTGAACATATCCAGACCATAAATCAAATCAAAGTATAATCATTCTTCTTTGGAATATGTACAAACAAGGATCACATTTGCATCTTTTTAAAAAATACATAAGCAGTTTACTTTGCAAAATGACTGAAAACATTCTATTATAAACACTTTACCTTTCTTCTTCAAAGCTTAAACATTGAAATGTGAAACGAACAAATCAGTAATAAAATAGCTTAACAAATGCATAGCATTTTATTTTTTCAAACCTGCACTTCTGGTGCAATAGAGGCAGAAGAAAAAAAAATCCACATACAGGCAAAAAGCTTCATACAAAAACTGGAATTGTCTGGTTTGTGTAAAGTAGGTTCTGTTTTATCCTGCACACCAGAAAAAAGAAAGATTCACTCAGTGAAATTCTTCAAATTCATCACCATTTTTGTACAAACTCGGACAGTCCCCCCAAATCTTATTGTAGTGAGAAATTGAACTTTCTTCCATGAAAATATTGAAAATCATTTCCACATGGTGGACATTTTGTTACATAAGAAAAGTCTTAAAATAATCCAGATGTTAAATGTGTTGAGGAAGGAAATACGGACTCTTTAATGATCAAAGGTGAGAAATTTAAATATTTTGTAACTCATGGTTTCAAGATCCAGCTGACTTTTTCCATGCAAATATAAAGCTTTTATTTGAGAGTGAACTCCAGTTGTACATCCAAATCCCAACAAAAGTCCCCATCAGGGAAGGGAGTTTCCATTTAAAAAAGTCTAGCATTCCACTGGAAATAGATGTCAGGAAAGATTCAGTCACTAATGTACGATAGGAAAGCAGTTATAGAAGACTGACCTTAAAGACGCAAAGAACAAACTTTTCACTTTGTGGTTTCACGTGAAAAGCGGTGCGGTGCGTCAAATGGTTTTGTTGCAACCGAAGATGAATGCCACAATTCTGGAGCTGTGGAGGCGGTTGTAGTCAAATAACACAGCTATTAGTCTCTTTTCACTTCTCCAGAAGCCGCTCCTGCATGGCCTCCTGGACTGGTAACGTCTCCTCTTGCAGCGTGCCGTGGGGGACGGAGTCCCTTTGCGATCGCGGGCAGCTTTGAAAGAACAGGGCCGTCTCGTTGGCCTCCTCCTGAACGGGCTTCCCGAAGGCGGCGTCCTGCTCGCCCTCGTCGCCGCCGTGGGAGCCCTGGCTGACGTAGACCACGATCACCTCGCCGCTGAAGTTCATCACCTGACCGCTGGAGATGAAGGTCGTGTTGTTGTTTCCTGACACTAAACCTAAATGTAAAAAAAAGCAGGGCACAGAAATACAGAGAGAGGCTGTAAGCGGAAGAAGACACATACAGAGAAATCTTCTTTTCAGAATTCACGCTTCTAAAAATTTCTTGATTTCGTAAAATATTCAACTTTTTACATTTTATCCTATTTTTCAACTTTTTTTCCTTGTAGTGACCACTCAGAATGCCTGTAACTGCCCAGCGGGAAGGGTGAATTAAGTTTTTATAATCAGAATTTTGATTCTGGTTCAGAAAACCTGCAGCATCTTGTATGGAAACGTATGGAAATACATTTCGTAAATAGGAAAATTCAAGTGTAACCCTCCTGGTCATAGAGTTTCCCAAACTCATGACGTACGTGAAGAATGGACTTCATCTTGGCTAACCTCTGGTGACAAATGGACGGTGGGCGTAATGACAGCGCAGGACGGCCGCAGAAAGGCCGGAGCTACAAACAAGCACCGCATCATTTTCCTTCCAGCCACACTTGAGTGTCCTGCAATTTAGTAGCGTGAGAAACTCAACACTGACCAGGACTAAACTTTTCAAAGCGTTTTATCGACTCTTACGGACAGAAACGTTTGTCGCTAAACGGCTTATTTTATCTTTTACCCCATCAAAAGAGAAAACAAATGGAGAAGTTTCCACCTCGGCCTCCTGCCTGAAAATGCTCGCTCTTTAATATGACTGAACCCAACCAGGTGTATGTTTGTTTGGGGCATCACATTTCATCGTAAGCATCTCGTTGCTATTTTATCCCACTTCTTGTTTGATTTCATAAACAGCACAACAAGCCAAACCTCTGTGACTCAAAGTGTCCCTCGTGTGTTCATAAGTGTCTGCATGCATAACCACACACACAGTGACAGTAAATGTAAGCAAAGCGTTTCGGGGGATATGTTTGCACTTACGTTCAAACAATGAAGAGCATGCATGTCCCCATAAAGTCTCGAAAAAGAAACCATCACACCCTCGGAGACTCTGTATCCCCAGAGCCTTTTCTGGGAATACCAGTCTAAGAGGTCCGCATAGAAAATATGTCACTTCACCACAGCTTTGAAAACAAAGCTCCATGGAATCTGTTTGGGTTCTGCTGTTTATCCTTCCTTGATTCCATTCCGATTTTGTTCTGGATTCCCAACTAATTTAGTAGTTTAGTTCTCTGTGCAGGGTAAGACATACTACACCAGCAAAACAAACAAACAAACAAACAAACAAGTAAATCAACTTATTTCCCAGAGGGCTGGCAGCTTTAAAGGTAAAGATGTAGGCCATCTGAGCACAGACAGCTCCCAAAAGGTTATCGTCTGAACCGATTCACACCAAACGTAAGACTCCGGCTTATTCCCAGTTTGACCAGTCTGAGCCTTTCTGGACCTTTAAATAACATGTGCGGGAAGACAATTCAGTTGGCCATCATTACTGCATGATGGGAAATCATTTGAAGCCAGGATGCATGTAATTAAAACACTCGTTTTTCAGTGAGAGTTAAAAAAACAAAAAAAACAAGACTATGTATGTGTGTGTATGTGTTTTTTTTAATTTTTTGGTCGGGAGGGTTATAAAAGCATTACTCAAGCTGCACACATCTTGCTTCAATTAAAGCTGCGGTCACTTTGCGCAACCGTATGGAACTCTGGGTAAACAGGAGCTTTGTGCTGGAGATGGTATAGTTCACACTGGGGCGCGCACAAAACACACACACACACACACGTTGCGAAGTGTTTGTTAAAGTGTGGTTCTGGTGGTTCGCTGAGGCATCACACACACACATATCTTTTTTCCTGCTTCCTGTGTGGTCCCCCCTGAACTCAACGTCCGACTATCAATACCGGCTTTATTAAAACATATTTCTTGGAAAGCATCATGAAAACCTCTCATTGTTATGCTGAAATCAATCCTCTATTATGAGTTCTATTCACTTAATAAGGCCCGGGGCCGAGCTTACCGCCGTCCCCAGCAGGCCGGGCTGACCACTCGGTGTTTGAGGTGCGCTGCATAAATACGTGTCCCGCTGATTTTTATTTTTGGCATCACATAAGAACAAAACAGATTCAACCGCTTCCCATTAAACCGTTCTGCTCCATGTTCAATTGAGTTATTCTTGGTGGACTGTCCCGGCTTCTCTGTGGTAAAAGAACTTTGCAATGAAGTGTACCAAAATCTTGCACGGTTCTGATCATCTGGCATCTATATCGATAACTGCCTACGCAAACAACTAAGACAAGCCTTTGTAATACGTTGGACGTGATTAGATTTTTTGGACGTGAACTGTTTGAGGTTCACAGGGCAAAAGAATCCGGGGAAAAATCCAGCTTCACACCAATGAGTTAAACTGAATTTCCTATTATATTTTTCTCTTTCCATTCTCGCTGGCTAAAAAAAGGCTGTTCCCTGTGGATGTGTCTGATTCCTGAGGTTTTCACCAACCTGAGGTAAGAGGTGGTTCGGCCAGCTGACTGTGGAGGCTCTCCGGCAGGCAGTCCAGTTCCGCGTCCCCCACGGAGAGCTTGTTCTCCCTGCCGTCCCCCAGAGAGACCCCGGGGCCCGGGGCCTCGGGGGGCTTGTCCAGGTAAAGGTCTCCGACAGACGCGGAGGCCATTAAAGGGCTGACGGGGCTCGCTGGACCGTTTTCCGTCCAGGCGGAGTCTGTTCTGGCCGCTCTGTGAAGCCCCTCCTGCTTGACCGGCGGTCTGTCGGCCAGCTCGGACCCGAGCTGCGGCCTCTCCTGAGCCTGGGACAGCGGGAAGCAGGTTTCTGGAGCCGGGTTGGTCGGGAGAGGGGAAGAAAGGGAGGCTAGAGACTGGACGCAGGTCGCGCTCGGCCCCGCGTTGTCCGGACCCTCTGGCCGTTTGCTCTCCTCTCCGTCCCTCTCCCCCTCCAGGCCGCCGCACGAGCAGGTCCCCAGCGTCCCCGGGCTCACGGCCTGACTGCAGTCCTCGTTCTCCCCCACCTCCAGCGGCTCCTGGACGGGGACCACGCACATGCAGGAGACCGCCAGGAGCGGGGAGGCGGCGGCCACCTCCTCCTCCTCTTCCTCAGACACCTCCTCCGGTTCTCCAGACCCCTCGCTCTGGTCCTCCTTCACCACTCTCCCCTCGGACTCCTCCCCGCCGGACGTTTTCTCCGTGGGGGGCAAAGACACCCGGACGTCGGAGAAAGACTCCGGGAAGGCGCGCAGCGGATCGTTTTCGGGACCTAGGGGAGTTTGGCAGATGAGCTTGGTCATCTCGCACGGTGCGCATTTGAGGTCTCCAAATCCTCCAGTTATCCCTCCACCTGCTACACTCTGGTAAAGGGGGGCCAAAGTCTCCTAGAAAGATCAAAACAGTGAAAAAGAGATATCGGAAATGCCCTGATTACATACATGTAAGCGAGGTAAATAAGCGTTTGCTCTATTTCCTTTTTTTTTTTTTTTTACATCACAGTACCTGTTGGATCCTGGTCCTCTTCAGATTCTGGACGCAGGATCGCAGATTAACTACACAAACAGAACCAATCAGTGTTCGTTATCAGTGAGGAAAACGACAACAAGGTAATCCTTCAAACGTGTTTAGCCTGTGTTTTCGCAGAACAAGCAACATCATATCAGTCACATGTCGACGATAATGCAGCTTTGTTTTGACCCACCGGAGAGGAGCTTCAGTTTGTCCTTGAAGCAGAAGAGCAGCAGGATGAGGAGACACAGGACCGTGATGACCGACAGCACGGACACTATCGCCCAGGACGGCGTCGAACCTGCAGAATCACACGTTTGCGTTCACTCCTGAGCCTTGCGACCATATTGGGCCAATACGAGCGTGCGTCTGAGCCTCACCAGAGAACGAAGGTCCACACACTGCATCCGAGTGACTGGTGCCGGGCTTAGTCTCATTCCTCCCCTCGGCTTTACAACTGCAAAACGAGACCCAATCAAACACAGAGTGAGGGTTTTAGACAGGCTTTTCTCTTTATTTCTCTTTATTTCTCTTTATTTCTCTTTATTTCTCTTTATTTCTCTTTATTTTCTCTTTATTTCTCTGCATTTTAACAGCTAAAACTGCCAGGCCGCACTAATGGCCTATGATGACACGCAGAAAGCACGACACAGAAAAAAAAACTAAACTAAATGGGTTCCTCCTCCATCGTTATTGCCATCATTACAGATCCGGCGGGCAGAGGAAGCTGGCGTCTGGTCCAGCCAGGATTCCAGGGGAAGTGGTGAGCGTATTACTCATACCAGCTGGTGAGGAGAGCTACCCATCTGTATTTTCCCTTTGGGGGCTAAAGCTGTCTCACTGTGTGTGTGTGTCTGTGTGTGTGTGCGTGCATGTGCACTTACTTGGTCCACTGTTTGCACTGTTCAGTATTACTGTCGGCGGAGAAGAATCCTTTCTTACACGGAACGCATTCTTTCCTGCCATTTGTTGACCCTAGGATTAAATGCATATATTCTTGTATATCCCCCTCATAAATACATTTGTATTATTTTAAAAAAAGAAATGTTTTTCTTGTCTCACCTGACTCCATCTCTAGTCCATAACCAGGGCCACAGGTGGGTATCTCCTCACAGTATTCACAGTTGATGGGGTGACACTGGAGGCCAGGCCGGCAGTGACAAGACTCCTCTGCCAAAAGGTTCTTGGGGCTCTTCATGAAACCCTTACCTACAAGTAGAAAAAAATGTGAGCACCTTAGTACAGACATAGGCCCAAAACTAGAAAAGAATTCATCCAGAAGAAAGAGAGTTAATCCAGATAATGTTGGAGACTGATTGCTTTTTTTCATCCTTATCCCTTCAGAAGTTTACCTGGAGAATATTCCACTCATGGCTAATTATGCACATGAAGAAAAGCTGTGGAGATCAGATCATTCTTGACCAAAAGGATCATTGTCATTAATAAACCCTAAAACAATACTTCCCCACATTTGTTTTCACACAGACGTCTTGTACTAGATATCTTTAAGTCAAAAGCTGATTTTTTTCCACCCAATATGAATAAGAAAGTGTTGGGAAGGTGCTATAAAATGTCATTTCAGGCTCTGAGATTGTTCAGATATGAGTTAAAGTGTGAGCATGAGTAAAAATAATCTGGATTTTCAGAATTGTACAGATGTTCGGTGTTCAGGCTGCAGCTACTGACCTGGATCACAGAACTTCTGGAGGCGGCAGCGATTGTTTTGGTTCCAGACTGGCTGATATTCATTTTCGTGACAGCTTGAACATATGGTCTGCCTGGACTCATTGCAGTGGGAGGACACATACGAGCCTAACGAAAGGAGACACAAACACAGGTGACACATTTAACAACCCAGACAAGATAAGAGCGAAAAACAACCTAATGCGAGACGACATGGAAAAGAAAGAAATTGGATAAATGATCTTCTGAAGTGTGCCAAAAGCCATGTTGTAAATTGTCCACGTGTGACTGTGAGAAACACACACATGACTGCGATATTTAAGGCCAGAATGTTATTTATAGACATCTTCCTCTTTTCAATAGAATTTGTGAATGAAATACTTTTTTTTTTTTACATGACGATTCCAGTGAGTAAATCAATTGTGCAAAGTCTGGTGTGTTACTTCAAAGTGTGTATGTGTGTGTGTTTGTTATTACCTGGCTTACACTTGTTGCAACACATGGAGCGCCTCAAGTACTGCCTCTCTTCACACTGGAGAGATTTGGAGGCTGTATTCTAAAAAAAACAACCAGAAAAAAACAAGCATTAAGACCTGAGATTAGTTTGAGCATGTTTTGTAATAATTGAAGTGACAGATGTGGTAAAAGGAGTAGTTTTCATTCATTCACGCACAAAAAAATACTTCTTTGTGTATAAAAAGATTGCCAGTTGTCTGCCATCTCTTCAAAATAAATGACTCGTATTCCTTTATCAGATTGTCTTTCAAATCCACATGTGATAACATCACATGGCCATGAGTAACGGTGGAAGGAGTACGGTGGAAACATTTCCAAGACATGTCCAGGAAATATTTCTGAACCCTCAGAACCATCTGACCACAAACCCAGCTAACTGATCCTAGTGCCCAGTTGCATTTCAAAGGAACCCAACATAAGAAGAACTTTCAGATCTTCTATTAGTCCACATCAGTTTGCTGTTAAAAAAAAAAGCACTGATTCACACTTCTCATATGACGAATGTTTAGTTTGACAAAAATACAGAAGACCTGCCGCTAAACGGCTGCAGAACTACATCACAGTCTCACACACCCTCCAGTCGCCCTGAATTTGTGGCTTGTGAACTCCTCACCACACTGCTGAATTACAGAATCGGGCTGTTGTGACAGAAATGATGCCAAAGCCTCAGACTCTATATATAAAAGGTAGAAAAAAAAACACCAACTTGAAAAGGTCTGACTGCACTGTGACCTATCTTCGAACTCTCCTACTTTGTCATTCCGCCCTTTTTGGTTTCTCTTTCTCCGAGAATTATACACTAATTCGATCCTTCTTGCTGTAATTTGAACTGCAAATAAAACCTGGCTTCGCAGATGTTCAACTTTCCCCACTGGAAACTTTGCAAAGTAGTATTTTTGAATTTGTATACCTGTCATCAAATCTAACCATAGTGTCTGTATCTGATCGTTCCCACCAAGCATCTATGATGGTCTATAATCCAAAACACCTTTTGTTTTGGTTTTCAATATTCATATTAGTAGACAACCAATGCGCAAGATCACATTGTTGTTTGAAAATGACCTCCTTCCCTATTAATCTATTTGTCTTTTCTGGATTCGGTCTTCCTCAGATTTCCTTTCTCTCCTCTCCTCTCTCACACCTCCATCCTTAGGCCGGTTGACTGTTTGTGTCAGTTTGTGTGGCCTCAGGTTACAACGGCACAATAAGAACACAGGCATGCGTTTAAGTACCTCCACTCGGAGTCACACATCAGCATACCTTTGTTTTATAATCTAACCAGAGGGATAATGATGCACGCCGCTCATAGCTCGCACCGCAGCACTAATGGGAACCATGTGCTGCACCAGAATAAAGTGACAGAAATAGGAAGATTCCCATGAAAACAGGCTCAAAATGCATGGGAAGCCAACGGAATGCTGGTAACTGCACCACATGTACACATAAAAACACACATAAATACATATATATATATATATGTGTGTGTGTGTGTGTGTTTCTTTTGCCTTTCTGTTATGTTAATGTTTTTATTATAATAATCTGGGGAAAAAAAGCTAATTAAACCTTTTTACGTCATGTCTAATCCCATCCAGTACACCTATGATAGAGAGTGCATTCCATTTGCTTCCAGAGGATGAGGGAATTTGCATAACGGTTGCAGCGGCCTTTGGCTCGCAGCCAAAAGAGCCACGGTGTGACTTCAAGCCTCAAGGTGTTTTACTGATCTGCGATAAGGTGCTTTAAAACAATATTGCTCAACAAGACAATCTGTGTGGTGTTTGCACCTGTGATTAATTTAGTTAAGCCATAAAAACCCAGACAAAGGGAACTTATGCTCTGTGGAGTTGTTGTTATATAGTTACTAAAAGGCACTGCAGAGTTTCCAGCCCCAAAAAACCTCAGATTCTAATCACAAAGAGCTGAATCATTCAGAAGAAATGTCAACCGAAAAAAACAAACAAAAAAACAACATACACAAAAGCTCAAGTATGTGCAATGGAAAATCAATTCAGAGGGAAACAACCAACATCACAAAGCGGGATAAAAAAAACGTTGTTTAAGTTGACCGCAGGAGGAGATTAACAGAGGTGTGTCGGACTCATTCAAAAGGAAGATTACAACTCTTCTCTCCTCACATATCTCATCTGTGGTGACATCGGTTGTGTTATGTTTCGCTTAATTGTGTCAGCCGTCTACAGCAAAATCAAGTTTGGATTCACCGTCTGAGGCAACGCAACACTTTCTGAGATAGACGTGACATCAGTTAGTGCTGTGATAGTGGCAGATGGCTGGATCTATTAGAGAATGTGAAAAAGAGGGAACTAAAGATTAAACAACAACAAGATGGGGGGTTAAGTGGGTGAAATGTTTTTATTGAAAAGTAAAGAGAATCATGAAGGGAATATGCGGTGAGATGAAAATGACTGAAATTCAAAGAATAGCTGAGATATTAAAGCATATATTTAAAGAATTATGCATGACTGGTAAAAACAAACAAGAGCCAGAACTGTGTGTAAGCAAATTCACAAATCTCCAAAAGCAAAGAGTGTTCAAGATTGAGTGTATTAACTCTGGAGCTCTGCACATCTTGAAGCGATTGTGCACTATTGCTCAATGTCGTCCTGTGAATTGGACAAAGTGGTTGAAAACCATGAGACTGAAGGGGGAATTTCTTTCGGGATATTGTGAGTCAGTCATGGCAAGACGTCGATGTGAAACAAACGGGAGCCAACACTTTTGAGAGTCACCTTTAAACTTCAATGAAAACTACTTCTTCCCCTCCACTCGCTGACTCCTTTTCCTGGCATCTCTGGTGTTGTGGCGTTGGCTTATTTCAAAACCAGAGGGAGTTAAAAAAAAAAAAAAAACTAAAAACTTTTCTTCTCTTTCTCTTGTACAATTGTCTTTCTGGGGCTCTGCACGGACACGACGCATGCCACCTCAAGCCTGCTCTCTTTCGACACATTTCCGAGAAAGGGGGAGAGGGGAAAATAAGGTTAATAAGAGCCTCTGTTCCAGTCAAACTCATAAAGATGCTGGCTCGAGGTAACACAGGCAGTGATGGATCACTGGTGCCCGGTCGTCCCACCACCAGAACCGCATCTTCCAAACCACCCACCTGGTCAGAGTCAACAGCTTGGACTAAACCAACAACAACAACAACAACAATGGCCTATTCACTTTTACCTTTAAACTGCCGATAAGCTCAGCCAGAAAACAAAATCACCACAGTTCATCTAGCAAGTTCAACTCCTCGGTGCTTAGTATGATAGCTGGGATGGATAATTGTGGAAACTCTGGCCCAGACCCACTCCGATTTCTGAGAAGCCGTTTGGCGCGTTAAGGCTCGGTGAGGGGGAGCGATCCGTTCAGACGCCAGTGGCGAGTTTGCGGTCACAGCAGGAGAAAAATAAGGGACTCGACCCAAAAAGCCACGATCTCCAGTTCGTGCCAGTGCGCACAGACTCCAAACTCTCCCCGTCTCTAATCCGTCCCCAACCAGACTGGCGCGCGTTCAGATGCCACGCGTTCTGCGTAAGATAACTGAAAACCGTTTCCACTGTCATTTGCAGGAACCTTATCACCTAAGAGAAACCCCACAGCCTCAGAGCTGTGCACAGAAAACTGTCATCTGTTCTGCTTCCACTATTCTGAAGGAACCACTTAACTTACTGGTAGGTAAATAAACACAGGCGTGTCTTACCTGTGCGTAAAGGCTGACAATGACGCACGTTATCCAGCCTTGGAATATCCAGTTTGTGGAAAAGTTCGTCCCCATCTTTTTTTTCTATTAATGACGACTGCTTCAGAATCAAACCTGAACCGGAGACAAGGCAGTACAGCAATGTCAAAGTTTCCCTCCCTCAGATATCCTCACTCCGGATCACTTCTCGTGCGCGTAAATGGTGTCGGGGCTTCCATTCATCTCACGGTTAGGCAGCGCCGGTTTCCATGTCTCTTCTCATCTTCCTCCTGTCCTCACCCACACGGTGTGAAGGGGAGCAGCGTGCTGCGGCTTGTAAAAAAACTGGAACTGAGAGAGGCAGGGAAGGAGGGGACTCCTCCCCCTGGGTCACACACAGTAAAGCCAATCCCGATTTATTTGATATCCCTGCCTATCTCCAGAAACCACCTGTGAAGTCAGTGTCAGGGTAATGTCTCTGCTACCCACTAACACCACGGGGGGACAAATAGTCTCTGACACTCTCATTAGAAGAGAGTTGACCATATGGCAGTCCTGATGTCACTGGCCAGTCAAGCTGATTGATCATATCATCCCATATGCAAATTTCAACCTCCCACAGGAGCCATCCATCATGGAAGTGAGTGGGTTTTATTCGGCATATTTCCTGGATCCATAACCATTTCCACAGTATAAAAAAAATAATTATTGTGAATGTGTTATGACAGCCTCCAGGAAATACTGCAGATGTTTTCTACCTCCATGAAAGAACGGGTTGCTTGTATTTCCCCTCTGAATTTGCATGGCCCGGCCCAAACCTGCAAGGGAAGACAGAGAAAGTTAGGGGGGGGGGGGGGGGGGGGGAAATGTTCCCTTCAAGGTGACAGTTATGCAAATCTTGGATTGAGCTGTAGATCCTGGAAGGCTTGGTCAGCTCCAGAGAGGGAAGAAAAAGAATGTAAGGGATTGGGAAATCATGTCTGAGTGAGGGGAAAAAAAGGGGGGAACAAAAACATTCTGTGTAAAATCTGTGATGTTTGTGCGAGTGAGGTACACTTAATCACACTGAGAACATGTATTCCCGCTTTTTTTTTTATTTTTTAGAAATCTTCAAGAGTTTAGAGAAGGGGAAGAAGAACAGGAAGGAGGCTTTAAAAGAGGACTCTTTCTTCTCCTCTTCCCGTAAGAACATGCTGAGAGAAGCTGTTTTTGCGGCGGGGCCCCCGAAGCTTCCACAGTAGCAATTAAGATTTAACTCTTTTAGCCATCAGAAACCTCAACTTGACTCAAAAACAGCACCGCAAACATTAACCCCCGGGCCGGACACACTAAACCAGCAGCACAGAGAGGTCATTGTCAGGTCCCCATTTCAGGCGTGTGACGTTGCTTGTTTTGATGTATGAAAATGTTACTCTACAGCAGGCCAACAACGCGATGGTCTATAATAATTAAACTTCTGGTGAGCTGAACGCTGCTGGCCTGGAATTGTAAGAATGTCGTGTTGCTTAGCATCACAACTTAACAAGTCAAAGTTCACGGAGTAGAACTATTTCTGATGCATGAAAATGCAAATACACACACACACACCCAAAAGATGCTATTTGGGTGTTTTTGATTAGTTCAAAACACACTCTTTCCATAGAACACAGCCTGTTCACATACCATGAATCTGGAGGAAGCTTCAAAGGTTAGGTCTGGTTTCCCATGCGCACAGGGGGGAAAAAACACTGGGAAGAAAAAAAAGGAGCAAATTAGCCAACACACCCACACACAAAGCAGATTGGAAGAACAATCTTAGATCTTTCTTCATTTGGAGTCAGATGATGTCTGGAGTCACTAATGTGAGCTCTCTGCTGTCAAGTTTACATTCAAATAAATAATGAAAAACTGAAGATATTTGACAAACACAAATAACACCGGTTCACACCCTTCGGCTGATGAAGCCACATGCAGGGTTGTTTTGACACACGGGGAACAAAACTAAATGCAAATCTCGCTTCAGGCTTCTGCCCCTGCAGATGGATATCTACAAACGCATTACTTCACCCCCTGTGTGTCGAGTATTTGCCCACCTGGCCAGTTATCAGGGATGGTGGTTGAACATTAACTAGAATATGCAAATGATTGTCTTTATTATTGTTAGTTAGCTACATTTCAATACATGTGTATATATATATATATCTACAATTTTGTGAACAATTTTTCAAATATTGTTTAGTGTTGTGTAGTGTAATCAGGCATTGGACTTCCAGAAACAATTACAAGTTAATGCACCTGATGATTTGATTCCTGAGAAATGTAAAAAATGTTAGTGGGTGAATGTGTTTTTTTTGTTGTTTTTTTTTTAATCATGAAGAGCAGATTTGGCAATAATGGAACATTGGTTGCAAACCAAGCTTTAAGATCAGGGCAGGCTGTCGGGAATGTCCCTTAAGATGGACTTTGGTTTGTAGTGCAGACAATAGAGCACATCAAAGGCCCCGATGTTAAAGACAGTAGGAGTGCGTCTCCTTTGGTTTACAGCTTTCAACACCTGGCGACACTTGGAGCCGCGGTGATAGCAGGGAGTGCTCCTCCATCGTCACACTGCCAAAAGTCTGAAAGCACGAGCAGGCGGTCAGTGAAGTACACAACCCAGCTCCATCTTTTATTACACCAAGACACAAATTTCAAATATACACAATGAGTATGTTTCTCCTCAGTTCAGTTATGACACAGTTATTTACTGTTCCTCTCTGAGCGTATCTGAAAAGAACAAAGAAGCAAATACCCACTTTAGAAAAAAACAAAGTACAATAAGAGACACTGCAGCACTGAGACGGGATGCAACGGACAGAGAAGGAATCATTAAGATCAGTGTTCTCTTCAGCTTCACATTGCCAAAACAAAGGAACCAAAAATATATTAATAAAATAACAGTAGTGATAATCATGTATAAGACTCTGAATTAAAACAACCCAAACAAAAAGTACATAGTGAAGAAAAAAACATTACAGTGAAGTGCAAAATTTCTTTGGAAGTTTGAATAAAGTAGTTTTTTCCTTCATTAAGACATAAATAAGTTATAAAATAGAAGCTATCCCAAAAAAAAGACTTTAAAGAAATAAAGGCAAGACCAATCTCTTTTTTCTTCTTTTCTTCAGTTTTCAAGTAGGCAATTCTTCTGAGCCAGACGGACACCATGTGCAAGGCATTGGAAACAGATGCACTGTGCTTCAAACCGTAGCGATCGCTTCTCCCACAAATGCAACTCAGGACCTCATGACGCAAACTGGCACCCTCTGGGAGTCCTCTTGAAATTCCAGCTCAGGGTTTTTCGTTTTTCTGGAGACGGGTGAATCTTCACTGAAACGTTACGTACGGAGGGGGTGGAAGGTGAAATGAGAGAGAGAGAGAGTTCTGTGACGCCTTCCTCCCCTCGGCCTCTGAAATGACAACGTTAACACTGACTCAAACATTGAAAGGCCGATCCAGGACGCTCTTGTCGTGTTGAAAGATTAGGGGCCGGAACAATTGAGCGGTGGGGGGGAGGGGGGGGGGTGGGAAAAGCCATCACGGGCTTTCACCGACGAAGCTAAACAGAACGTTGGCGTTCTCCTGAAAGCAGCAGCTGGCGTGGCCGCGCTAACGATGTTCCATCACTCGATTAGACTACACGTGGGGCTCTCCTTCTATTTTAAGCCGGACCAAAGTCTGCTCCAGTACGGTTCTCCCAAAAAAAACAGCTCGTCAGTTTGCTGTCACGGCTGAGTGGTCATTCATTTCTTTCTCTGGAAGACGTTGGCCAACATGGCGCCAGAGGTGGTCAGCTGACCCATCTTGCTCAGGAACTTGGTCTTGGCGTCCTCACCCACCAAACTGGATGCGATAGAAATAGACCTTATGAGAAAGAGAGAGAAGAAACAAGGCACATGCTTCGAAGTTAGACATGACTGGAAAAAAAAAAGAAATGAAAAAAATCACAGAATGAGGGGATAGATTACCCTTTTCTCTAGTTTGCCAATACAACCCCACCTTTTTTTATTTTTTCAGTTTACTGTCTAACGGCCACACAAGTTCCTCTTTTGACAAATGCCACTGAGAAGTTACAGCAATCTCTCAAGCTGCGGTGTTGCTAAATAGAAGCTCAAACATCGCCAGAACACAAAACTGCAGCGAATGACTTTTGGACACATAGTCCTCTGTGGTACTAAGACAACCCAAGAATTTGGTAGGAAATCCCAAGAATTCTTTCTATAAGTTGCTTTTGGAAGGCTTTGTGGACCGGTTGCATATTCTGTGCAAACATACAAATGTGTTATCCTGTTTTGACAAAGAAAACTAATTTACTGGGAAAGAGTTTTCTAATTAAAGAATGTGAGAGTTGCGATTTTATAAGCAGCATTTATAGGCATGAATAAATTAAGAATGAGCTTGTTCTTTGGTAACGTTGCTTTAAAATGTTTTCTTTTAAATCAAAAAGCTAAAAAAAAAACCTGAAGACAGACCAAAATAAAACAAGAAGGGAAAAACTCAGCGATTGAGTCCATCTTCAGACTTAGAAAAACACAATTAAAAGTGAGCCTTGTAGATCTATATGCAAACGTCCCTGTTTTAAAAGATTCTAACACATGTTAGCAAGATGTGGGAGAAAAAAAAACTAATTTACAAACAATCCACAACATGGCCGAGGTCCCAGCTTTTGTAACTTTACCAAAACATTTAATTTTCTTCCCTTCTCTTAAGAAAGCCACATAATGATCCCAATTCCAACACGCCTACATCCTCCTCACCCCCTTAAAGAGTAAACCCACAATATAGACTCAGTCCTGAGACTTCCTGTAAATAAAGTGAAACTTCGCATGGAAAACATTACATCACTTATTGATGTGAGAAATGAAGATACCCCCCCCCCCCCACCCCAGTCTTTTCAGGGGAGGTGCTGCTGTTGCGTATGTGTCAGTGAGGCGCTTCTCACCCTTGTGCGTCTGCCATCCCTCTGTTCTCCACCTTGATTTCGCACTCTTTGATCATAGAACTGAGTATCACCTGTGAACAACGGAGACAGAGCTCAGATCATTCAAAAAGCCGCCTTTTAAGAGACAATCTTTATCTTTTGAACGACTCCTTCTTCGCCAAGTGTTCAACACCGGGTAACCTGCTGCTGTTAAGTGCTGCGGTGATGCAAAGAGGGTGGCTCCAACAGATAAAAAGTATGTATTACGTGCATTTAACAAGATAAAACACTGGCTGAGAATCCTGCGTGTAGAGATTCCAGACAGAGTGGGAAGGGTCAGCTGTCTGTTAGTCACTTTGGGAAAATGCTCACATGAAATGATAGCGTGAGACTCGGAGACACAAATAAATACGGTATGTAGGTGTGGTGCGTGTGTGTGTGTGTGTTGGAGTGTATCTGTGTAAAGACTCAGACTCTTTATCTCTATTGCCTGAGAGACCCTGGGAACACAGGGGCAGCAGAATGGGTGACTGTGAACATGCAAATGAGCTGGTGTGTGGAGGTTCTGACAGTCGGTGTCAGAGATCCAAGAAAGTGTCTACAGGTGCGTCTGCGTATTTCCTGACCTCGTGCTCTGGCGACAGTTGCTCCATGTCGGCATGAAGACACCTGAGGCCGGGCAGGAAATGGTTGACCATCACCTCCTCAGAAATGACTGCAAAGGACGTTAAGGACTGTACGGAGAAGTCATCAAATCACCACGAGGCTCTATGAGTTAAACGTATTGCTATGAAGAAAGTTGTCAGACAGATACACAACGGCTCATCTGGAATTTTGCTGCTAACAGTGGCTCTACGAGAAGCAAAACAAAAAGTGCCCGGAGACCAAGCGCTGAGCATCATCTCATTACCAGCACCCGTTCATGGGGATTTTTTTTTTTTTTGTGAAAAGGGCTGACTGTTCCAGTCAGTGTGGTCGAGAGATGGGAGTACAGAAAGAATAACACAAAAACCCTGAGAAACACTGTTCGCTCTGGATGTCATGCTGGGGGGGGGGGGGGTCTTAGACTTCAAGTGGACATCGACCTGAAGGCGATACAAAGCAGGGACCAGGGAAACTGTGCGAGGGTCCTGGAGTGACTTGACCATAGCTTGAAACCGAAAGTGCGACTAATATGGCTTCACACAGAAATGATCACAATTAAGTCAAAAGAAACAGAAGCTATTGAAAAAATGAAAGGTGTGCCACGGTTGTAGTCTTCTTAAGACGACTCCTGGCTCCCAAAGTGGCCTAAATTATAGTTTTTCCAACAGTCACCGAACCCTCCGTCAACGTGTTTCTGCTTTTTTCTAATATTTTCCTTTCAGTCTATAAACGCTCTTTGCCGCTCTCCTGCTTCGGCGCACCCTGGTTACCATCTGCCATCAAAATAGTCAGGTGGTTTGCCCACAAGGGTACATGTTCTGCCACATGTCAAAATTGCCGGAGCTCGCTGGGACGGGCAAGTGAGCACGTCTATATATCTGGAGAGGAGGGAACGTATAGTTTCAGAGCTTGATGACGAGGAAAAAAGAAGAAAAAAAAAAGAAGTGCAGTGGGAGGTAAAGCTTCTGAGGTTAGGGCTACACCTCCTGGACAGCGCTGCGCTGTGAAATGACAGCCTGAGGAAAATCCACAGGCATGAACCTCAGGCCGGCTGTCCTCCATCGGTGTGTGCTGGAGCTGGGTGGGGCTCGGCCGAGCGGGGAGAGGGGGAAAGAATCACAGAGGAGAAAGGGTGTTGGAGACAGAGCAGAGGTAACAAAAACCCAAGCCCTATCCTGGGAACCGTCTCTGCAGATTGGAGCTGATGTTCGGCCCTTTCCCTCCTCTCACAAGTTTTCTCCTGCACTCATCCTTTCCTTTGCCGAAACCAACCCTGTAATTACCTCGAGCCCCAAAATGGAGGCAGCTTATTTTTCCTTTCTCCTGCTGCCAAATGACAGGCAGAGTCTGCCAACGCACACACACGCACAAACTGTACTCCCAGGGAGCAGGGCCACGCCGATACGTCCCAAACGCTCGTGTTCAGGAGGAAACTGGACCAGCGCTTCACAGGTAGAGCTGAACTGTCTGACGCCGACTCACGGTTATGAAAGCAGACATGGGCTCTTTGCCAACCATGACACACAGTTCTAGTAAGTCTTTGGGAAAAAAAAAAGTTCATTTCAAAATTGTTACAAAAACACGAGCGATACAATTGACTGTAGATATTTCTCTTTAGGTCTATGACAGAGAACACACACCCCACTAGCATTGAGCAACTTTTGGTTTACTTCGCCCTGAAAACAAAGATCTTCTGGAGAGAGGATGCGCTGTGTATGACGGGTAATCACAATGCAGTGAAAATACAGCTGGGTTGTACAATTCTATAGTTAAATAACTCCCAATATTAGATAATATGAGCAATATTATTTTTAACCATCTGTAACACCCAAATTTGCTCCTTGTTTGACAAATAAAGGAAAATCTTATCATGACCAAAAGGATACAGCAGCAGGAGAGGGCACTGTACGCCTCAAACAGTTGGGTGGCGATGTCAATCCTCTTGCTTTCTACTGTCTGGTTATTGTTAGCCAGCGCGAGCTTATGAAGGTGCGGGAGAACAACTGGAGGAGCCCAAAAAACAAACAAAACAACAAAACACAACAAAACATGTCAGTCAAAAGGTCAGCGTGCATATGTGCGAATTCTTAATGTGAAAAATGAGAATTCTTAATGTGAGAATTCTCATTACAGAATTCCTTCCTCTGTTTTACGTACACTCGTCCCTGAAGCGCGGCTCCGCATTGGGCCCCACCCTTCCGAATGTCCTGATGATCTCCATGTGCAAAGAGTGCTGATCTTGGTACTGAGGGTCTTCCAGGAATGACGACAGCTGCATTTTCACACGCTCCAGCAGCTGTGCGCACACATGAAGGATACTTGTGAATAAAAAACACTAGAAAACGCCTTACGGTAATCAACACAGTTCATTAATGGTCACTGTGCAACCTGACTGGTCCGTCACTTACCTCTTTTTGCGTGACCGTCTCCATGATGGTGCCAAAGGCAGGAATAGTGGAGATCCTCACTGAACTAAAACCAGCAGGAAAGCAAGTTAACACTTTTACCGGGAATGATAGCTCTTAGGTACTCTCCCAATTCTTCATAGCGTGTCTCCAAAGGCAAAGTCAGAATGACTCAAATATTATCTGCAAAAACATGTCATACTTCAAAATGCATTAACCACTAGATAGTTTGATTTAACCACATCAAAGCACCTCTGATGGGTAAAAAATATGTCATCATCAGGACCCAGATTCCCAGAATTCCCTGGAAGGAATTCATATTCCTTCCTTCCCAATAAAGAAACAAAACGTTTAAATGACTGGTTTCAACTATGTATTTTTGCTTTGTAGTTTTACTTTTATTATCTAAAAGGTCTTCTGAAAATATCTCTTTCAATCCCTCTTTTGAAATGTGGCTTTGAGACTGGTGAGCCGGGACCAGTCAGTAACACAAGGTTCTGACTGCCATGACTTCCCTTTAACCAAACACAAGCTTTCTGCAGATAATACCTGACCAAGAACAGCATCTAACACATTGGAACCTCACAGCAGCATCTGGGGACTTCTAACAAATGAACGACTTTGTGTACTTAATTGTTGAGCTCACTGCTCATTAAATTGATGGAATACTAAACGTTGTCAAATCAAACACAATAGTTTCACAACTTTGTTCATTATCTTTTCAGAATTTGAGAGAAAAAGAAAGAAAAAAGTGATGAAGGCATCTGACAATTAATTTCAGTGGCATTAAGCAAGGTTAATGAGGTGTTAGGGCAATGTTAGGAAACCATTCCAATCAAAGAGGGGCCACAAAAGAAAACAACAGCCGCACATCAGCCACTTGGAAGTTGCTGGAGAAAAAAAGGTTTTTCATTCTGATTTCACTGTTTTTTTCCTTTTATAATCCTTAAACTTTACTGCTCTTACAGGGCTCATTGTACAGCTCAGACATAAGAATGGAGGCCACAGACCACGAAGGATGAAAGATAACAAGGAAATTACGGTTTGTTTGCTGGTTTTTACTTTTGAATAAAGAATAACCAAAGTGTGTTTAGTGTTTGGATGAACCTCGTGTACCTATAAATGTGTGCATTTTCATAGAATGGTGAGATGAGAGGGGCTGCATCCCAACAGTGAGGCACCACTTCTGGCAGTAGTTTTCCTCTTCTACTTAATCTTTGCAAAGACTTTAGGACAAATACAGGAGCCTCCTTCAGGGGAAACTGCCACCCAGTGAGGCGGGTTTGTCAGAAGCCTGTTTCGCACCGGGAGGATGCAGCCCGTCAAATGAAAACGTTTTCAGAGAGGTTTTTTCTTGTGTCGGTTGACTCACAATTCAGGCCCACTGCACAGAGTTATTAGGGCTGGAGCCGCCCGGCGATCTACTAACGCTTCACTCATGCCTCGGAGAACCAACTGCAAACCCACCACACAGCAGGATGAGAGAGTGGGAGAGGTATGGTGGGAGATGGAGGAAGGGGGAGGAGGTAAAGATTGAGAGGATAATACAGAAGAGTGTAAAAGAGAGAAAATAGAGTGACGGGGAACAAAAATAAATAAAAAAATTTGAGCCAGACGGGGGTAAAGACCACCGACCACCAGCTGACGAGGCCGTCAGAAAGAGTGGCCCTGCTTCAGAGGACAGGGTGGGGGAGGAGGAGATGGTGGGGACGGGTACACGTGAGCATGCGGGGACTGTCAGCTGTGGGCAGTTTGGATGCACCAAACTAGCGGAGAAGCGCTTAATGTCAACTGATGAGGCGATGAGAGCCGGCATGAGTTAGTGTTGCAGACTGGTGACGCGGACATGCACGGTGTTTGGTGTTAACAGTGGATGAGCAGAAGAACCACCCCAGCACAGCCTAAACCTGACCAGGAGTCACACTAATACAAGCAAGGCCAAAGAAACAAAACTCAAAACAAAGAAAATAATCAGAAGGAAAGAACGAAATTTTAAAAAGTGGGAGAAAAAAAAAAAAGAGTTTTAAGGCACAAAATGAATAAATCAATCATTTTGTCGAGGATTGACTTTAATTGGCATTGAATTGGCTTTCCCCGCAGGTTTAGACTGGGTCTAGTGTGATCGTTCTCAGGCGGCAGAGAGAAGGGGGAGAGAGACGCGGCGCGGTTTACTGTTGTTGTTGTTGTTCCACTTACATTTCAGGGTCGGAGGACAGTGTGATGAGAGCCGGCACCACTCTCTGAGCTACCAGCGTCTCATTCACCCCCTTCACCAGCAGCTGATCGGATTGGACAGAGCCAGCCGTGATGTCACATAGGTGGGCGGGGCATTGGGACAAGAGCGAGCAACACCGCCAATAGACAGAGATAAAGAGGATAAAAAGAACAAAGAAAAAAAAAAAAGCAAAACAAAGAGGGAAGGGGGGGGAAACAAATCAAAATACAAAAAAGATAGGAAGAAAGTGATAAACAATGACAAGAAACATAGCTGCAAGGCACAATACGGCACAGCATGTATCAAGCCAGTGAGTGTACATTAAAACTCATGGACACACACCGACACACATATCCGTGCACTCTGCATGCCAAAGCTAACATAATTCTACTGGACGACTGCTTTTAAAGTACGGTGACATAAAGCTGCGGATTCCTTCCACAGACTCCAGATCAGAATTCTTTTTCATTGAGAGGAGCCAAACAAGAGTTGTAATTAAGCCAATTTGATCTGGCATTTGTGGATCAAGGACCAACTTTAAATGATGTCTTAATAAAGATGGACAGTCTAGACACTATGGAATGGTGACAGTGAGGTGTTTGGGGAAACAAAACAGGGGTGTATGAATGCAGCCTACCATTCCTCTTCCCCCAAAAAATAAGCCGTCATAAGGCGCAGATTCCACTGCTACAGCTAGACCCTCACCCCAGCATTTGACCTAAAGCGTGCACCTATCTCACATCTCTCGTGGCTCTGGCAAAGAGAGAAAACCGATCTAAAAGGTAGAAATCAACTAGATGAAACTTATAAATAAAGAGGGAAGCTGCTGCTCTCAATTCAAAATAAATGCAGTTTTTTGTCTCAATGAAACACAAATTTTGAAAAAGTAAAAAAAAAGAAGGCAGAGAAATGTTAAAATCTTCATATGAAAACTTCAAATTATGTTTCCTAGGAATACTGAATCATTATCAGGCCTCCCACTGATTTGACTATGTAGCACGATCAGGTTGCTGACTCGACATGCAGCAGTTTCTGTTTGGAGATGAGTGCACAGTGAAAGGTCCAATGTTAAAGCTAAGAGGGTTTAGCCACACAGTCGGAACTGGGCTGCTTATTGGCTATAGCTAAAGACAGCAGAGCTTTATGTTAAATGCATGTTTAACAGCAGCAGCAAGCGGCGCTAGCACATGAACAAGAACTCGGTAGACACTTTCGTACAGCCTCAGCAGTGATATAAACTTATTCAGAATGTAACAGAATATATAGTTAATACACATGCAGCATGATGGATTACAATTACTTCATCTTAAATAGCATACCGTAAGGGCTCAAATTAATTAATTAATAACCGATAAAAATATCCAACATCTGGATGGATTACCATATACACTGGTCTGGGTTAGAATGTGAATATAAAAAAAGGACATTTTTGTGTGCTTGTGTGTGCGTTTTGTACCTCAAACATCCGGGCTGCTGTACACCGAACCAGAGCAGATGTGTGCACGACGCCATACCACAGAACGGTGAGGAGCAGTTCATGGTACACTGGGTTAGCACTGACACATAAAAGAAAAAAAAGCCTATGATTCAACAGCCAAACACACTGGAACTGTGAGGCGATTTATTCAGGTCATCCGAAGAAAAATCCAAGCTAAAAAAGATTCAATGTATGTAAATACATAAAGACTTACCCCAGCTCTACAAAAGAGGCCTTCAGGCTGTCCAGAGGAGCGTGGGACAGAGACAGCGTCGTCATCACATCTTCCAGGAATCCTACCAAAAGCTTGCGATCTTCCTCCTGTAAATGTATTAGGATGAACAAATAAATTTATATAATGTAACGTATTTAAATTCATGCTCCTAAATGATGGTATTGCGAAGGCAATTTTTTAAAGCAGTTTTGACGGAAAGTGCACTGTTCAGAGCCTATTTTCTTGACATGTTGAGTTTAAGGTTTAGACTGAAAGAAAAAAAAACATCCCTTGTTTTCTGAATCTAAAATAAATTTAAAAAAACATATGGTAATGAGTGGGATTTCTCTTCTACTGGAGATGTACAAGGAAGAACAAGAATCCAATAAACTTCTTTTCGTTTTGCTTTGTTTTTCCAAACTCAGCCATGTGCAATATAAAATTAAAAAGACTATTGTTAGCTCACACAGTCGAGGTTTTCTTCTAGTCTTTATCTTAGCCATTCTTCCAAATTTGTTGAAAGTGCGGACAACGGTGAATTTTACCACTGAAAATCTCTTTCTTTTATAATGTGATCATACATGTGCACAAATGACAGATTTCTCTTGTAGGATTTTAAAAAGGGAATGTTCTCAAAGGAAAAAACTAATCTGTAAACTGCTGCATTGACCCGTTCCTTCTACTCGGTTACCTGGTTGTAGCAGGTCAGCACTCCAGTGGCATAGATGGGGACTGTGGCTTTAGTGAGAATACCGTTTCCCGCTGAAGCATCTAACAAGAGAAGAAAAAAAGCAAAATCACACATGCACATATGAATTAATTTTTACTTTTTTTTTTACAAAGATTAAACATACAACAAAACAAAACAACGCTACATGTGATTCAACATTATCGTGCTTTTTGAAGACCTGAGTCAGAATCTATGTCATTGTGTTTAACATGTTAAATGTGTGCAGAAAATGTGGCCTCCATATACATTGTGTTATTGTGGTTAAACAAAAATCCACCCAAACTGGGCTGTAGCTATAGAAAGGTCGAGATGACCTCAACACTGACAGGGTCTCTGTAAAAAAACACATTTCAACAATGGCCACAATACCAAAGCTAAATCATTTGGCAGCCAAATGAGACCAAGCACTTCTTTACAACAACAGAAACATGTCTGGAATTAGGGAAAAAAAAGAGAGAGAGAGAGAGAGCAGGGGAACACCCATAACAGACTCGGAATAGCTTGTTTACATCAATGGTGTCTGCGTCTGAACTCCACCTATCAACATGCTCTCAAGGGAGCTGAGAAAAACCTCGACGTTTGTGTGTACGTGGAGAGAGCTCTCACCGACATTCTCTTCAGACAGTCGAAGAATCTCCTGGAACTGTGGTTTCACCTAAAAATATCAAGAAGAATAACTTTCCATTTCATATTCATCTTTGACAGTTTCACACACACATCATAATTTCAAAGACACAGTTGGTAACCAAGTCCCGGATTTGGAGAATAAATACATATATTCATCAGACATGCCAGCTGCTTACACCATAACCTCTGTATTTTTAAACCGATAACAGTTTAAAAAATCAAAAGCCTCACATGACAATCTTTATGTTTATAACAACAAAGGAGGAGGCGCTGATTATTTAATGAGATTTATTGTACTTTCTGACTTGGGATGATCAATACTTTCCTTAAATTGTGTATTTTGCTGTTAAACAATTTCCCCAATTTCTTTTTAAAAAATAAATTATTGGAGTTTTTCAGAAGACAAACTAAAGCGAACCGAACTAAACGTCTCATTTGGGCTCAGCTGTACCTTAGTGTTGGTGAAAATCTTCCCAAAGGTGCGGCAGAACCTCCAGAAGAAGCGCGAGAACTCGTGAACACAGGTGGAGGACGTCACGTTGATGCGACCCACGATCTCGATTAGCTGAGGCAGGCTGAGGGAGGGGCAGACAGTTAGATATATGTGTACCAGCGGGCTTCTTTCGTAGCTCATTTCATTTAATATTGCAGAGTGCATCTTTCTGTATGTCTGTGCTCTTGCATTGCTCATGTTGTGGTAGACATAAATCTGCTTAATCTGTTTACAATGTAGGGACCCCAGTCCATTTTAAGGAAGAGGATGCAGGTCAGATTCATGTGTTGTTCTGGCATAATGTAATTAAATCTGAGGACATGGTTTGAGGTTGGCATACTTCATATCCAGGACTGCATCTGTCCCACATAATCATGCCAAACAGCATTTTTTAAAATGAAAATGTGTATATGAGCATAAGTGAAAGCCTTTTAACAGTCAGCTTCTACATCTATTTTTGTGCTTTGTTTTTTTTTTCCCAAGTTGACAGCTGACTACACTTCTGAGTATACTGACTAAACTTCTTTTTTCCTACTGGAAATGTATATGGATATTTGAGGGGGCTCTTTTGTGAAGAAGACAAGAACATAAGATAATCATAAACACACATTAATTCTACATAAGCTGTGATTTTGTTTTGTACTTCTGAACAGAAGATTTAGATTTCTAAGGTTTGCAGTCATATTAAAAACAACTATTGTTGGTTAAATACTTGTGACATATTCCTATGTTATTATTTGGATTAAAAAATATGTTTACATATGATATGTTCAATGTGAAGGAAGGAACTGCAGTGTAAACCTGATACCTTCATCTTGTCAAAAACTGTTTTTGAAAGACTATAAATGTAAAAAATAACTCGAAATTGAGTCAGTTTGTGCAGCGGAGACATCTACATGGAGTAAAGAGACCCGTGGAGTGTGGTTTGTAGTTGGGCCCAGACAGAGAAGAGGGATAAAGTGGAAGACAAGGGTTAAGATCATGAGCCAGTCCCTATGGGAGTACACTGGTACACATTTAATTTGAACTGTGTGATGGAAATGCTGCAGTAAAACAAAAATGTTAAGGAAAAAAGAAAAGGAAAATATGTGTGAGGGGCACTGTGAGATCCTGCATTGCATATTGTGCAATAAAGCTAATAATAATAAATTAGAATAATAATTTGAATTGAAAAAAAGTTGTACTTAGCCATACATTTAAGCCAGATGGTAACCATTAAATGTTTGAATTGATGTTTATGTCACCTTGAATGTGTGAGCATGTACGTGTACTTTTCTTACAGCTGATTGACCACCCATAGAAGGCTGTCCCACCCAGTGGTTCCCTCATGCTCCAGCTGGTGATCGTAGAGCAACAGAAGTGCACTTAGCATCTCTCTGCTGCCGATGATTGTAGCCACATCCTGGAGAGGTGAGGCCGGCCTGGGAAACCGGGTCACTTGAGGACCAAAAGATAAAAGACCACAGAAAAAAGGAAAATAAAAATTCCAGTAAAAGCGGTGCTATATAAAGACACAACAACAAAGAAAAAAAAAAAGAAACTGGAGACAGCGTTAGCTTTAGTGGCGGCAGCACATCTTGCCTTCTATTGGAGGTGTGTCTCCGCTGACTTTGGCTCTGCTGGTGAAAGGTGCGTTCTGCAGCACCACAGCGAACAGAGGAGGGATGAGAGACTGAAGGGCCGACAGAAAAATGTGTAGCTTGTGTTCATCCAGACCATGTTCCCCCTGCTGCAGGAAGAAGCATTAATTAGCAAACTACAGCCGCTAACTACTACCTGCCAATCTTTTTAGCCTTGAAGTCAACAGACAGGTCTCACCGTTAATAGCTTCTCTATACGTGCCAGCAGAGAAGGGATGAGCGCAGTGTAAAGGTTTCCCAGCTCAGTGGTCCAGGCAGCAAAGGCAGGGATGAAAACCTGGTGCACTGCGTTGACCACTCGCTCGGATGGGTCCCCGAGGGAGAGCAGCATTAGCTCAAAGCCCTACAGCAAACAACAGAGCAGCATCACCGGCAAAGACCAGGACAATGAGAGCAACCGCTGTAAAATGCTGGACTTGAAATGGCTTTTAATGACATTTAAAATAAAATAAAAAGCCTGAATGAGTTTCCTTCCAAACAAACTTACCTGGGAGTACTTGTCAGAGTCGTCTATGTAGCCCATGATAATACCCAAACTCTTGACCACTGCCTCCCTGACCATGTCAGCCTTGTCCTCTGTGAGCATCTGCTGCAACATGGATAACACGAGGGAGCTGCGGATCTCCTTCTGTGGTGCCAGAAGAGCAAAAACAGGGAGCTGGTGTAGTTTTTCCACCTATATTCACACCCAAACCATTTTGAACCGTATGCACCGTATGTTCTTACAGGCAGGTAAGGCGCTAAGGCTCCACAGGACTCAGCCACCAGCAATCTCCTCTCTGGATATTTGTGGTTAATCTGTGAAGGACAAATTTAGACAACGAAGTGTTGAATGTAAAAGAGGAACCAAAAGTTGAAAGGAAAGGAGAAATAGACGGGAGTGTAGTCACCCTGGAATGGAAACAACATGAGTATCATCAACATGCTGACCCTGTGGAAACCACAATTTGTCTTTCCTTGAAGATTCTCAGCCTCCAAACTGCTGGCATGCTGCCGTTGCTATGGCAGTAGATTTTGTTGATCGAGAATGTGGTGACCCAGGTGGCAATAAAAACAAAAATGCTCGGAAATGTATGTCAAGGACGGTCGCAGGGCAGCGAGGGTGATTTTTGGTAGCCGAAAATGAAATTAAAAACCGACGGGTGTATCATCAAAACAAAGTGTGACTATCGTTTGAGATATTTTCCAAACACTTCTTTTTCAAACAAGTTCTTTGTGATTCGTCTGCAATGTGAATCATTTTGATTTACAAAGGGTGACCAGCACAAACAAATCAGGGCTTAATAGTGATAAAGTTGATTGTTGTACTGTAAATAAAAATAAGTGAATAAAAAAAACAATTCATCAGTATGACAAAAATAAAGTATTAGAATGATATTTTAACAGAAAACACACTAATTAATGCTTAAAGATTTCTGGACGTGGAAGCAGCTGTGTACTGTACCTGTTCCCAGCACTGAGGAAGGAGCTCGGCCTCGACACGGGTGGGACCCACATGCCTCGCAAACGCAACACAGCCTGTCAGGATCATTTGCCTTTGGAAACACACATGTACATACCAGTTAACACTGCTCAATTACACCAATTCAGCTCCTGATGTCTGTGCAGCTTATTCAGTCAACAGGTCTACATCTGGCTGGACATACCTCTGCTCATCATCGGGCCTCTTGATTAGATTAAAGAGGATATGGAGGAGCTGGTCCCGCTCTTTGGGCTCGGGGTGAAGGCATGCGGTACATAAGATGAGTGGAATCAACTCCTGGCGGTGAGAAAAAGAGACACGCGCACACGCACAGAGCTGGCGTCAGATCAAGGACCTTTGTGAAATAGGTAGAGAAATGTTTGTAGGGCTCAAACAGGCCTGCCAGCCAATGGAGTAGCAGGGGATGCAAAAATAGATAAATAAATAAAAAAAAGATTAGAGGAGTCACAGTTAATAAGGAAGACCAACAATGGTGTCCAACAGGAGTTCATCAACACCACTGCAAACATGCTTACCTTGACTACCTCGCTGCCGTTATCCTTTTGACTTATCTGTGTTAATACACATACGCAGCAGGGGCCTATCAAGTGCATGCACACACCTGGACGCACGGCCTTATACCGACACACACATCTAAAGCCCTGCTTCCTCCTCCAGAGCTGAGCTCGATCTCAGAGTTCAGACTGAGTTCACGGGCCCTCCAGCCAAAGGGGAGACAGCTCAGCTGCCCTTGATACAGGGCCTCCATGGCCATTTTGTGGTCAGCTCTACATTCCAGCCACACACAGCGAAATTAGAGAGTGCACACAGAGTTAAAAATATTTTTTTCAAACGCTGTTTTTTAAAAAAAAGAAAAAAAAAGAAAAAGAAAAGTTTCTTCTTTTTTTCCAGTAAGATATCGCATATTTCTGCCAAGTGTTGGAAGAGCAAGCAAAACCCCAACACTGGATAGACACACGGAGAAAAAGTGGATGAAGACGGGCTGTGATGAGTCAACTGCTCGACGTCTAACTGATTTTCTGATGTCAGTGCCAGGTTGGAAGGTTTTTAAAAAGTAAAACATATAAGGTTTAGGTCTGACAGGGTTCAACAACAAATTCAGTATGAGTGAAATTAGTCCAAGGGTAAAAGGAGCTGCAAAAGGCTGCAAATGAACCAAGTTCAGCCAAACGTAGCTGCCACATTCAATAATCTCCCGCACTGGCCACTGCAAACACAACCAAACTACAGAAGTGTTTCTTTAAGTAGTCAGCTCTGGCCTGAGACAAATGAAGGAATTCATAAAGAGCACACATCTAAAAAGCCTGACACTGTGCTGACCTGCGCTATTTCTGTGTGACCCCCCCCCATCCGCCCCCTTCTTCCCGTGTATGATGTGAAGACCCCTTCAGGAGGTTTAACACTTGAGCAGCTGTGGGTAAACACTGCGGGCATGTACAGTGGACATAAGCACGCCCAGGTTTACGGTCAGCAGGCCTGACGCCTCAAAGAGGAGAGCTGAAACGCTCCGATCCCAAACGGCCCCTATGCAGAGCTCGCCCTTCAAATCTAAAGCATTTCATTATCTTTTGGTTGAACACGGTACAGATGTTGGCGAATGAACGTCCTGTGCCTTTTTCTGAGGATTGATGAGTCTTTTTATGCACAAGTTCTCCACAAATAGGGTGTACATTTCCAGACTCTTAAGCAGAAGGGCAAAATCTGCCAATAATTTTTGCTTCGAAACTTTTCTGTGAGTCATGTCAACAGGTCTGTTAAAAAAACTTTTTTTTTTTGCAGTTTAAGTTGTCAGTTGATACGGTCAGTTGAAAAAACAACAACTGCATCCTCTCTAAATCAGTTACCTAGATAAATCTGGAGCAAATAGTTGACGCGAAGAAAGCAAATCAAACTGCAGCAGTGCAGGCTTTCTTGAGAAAAGACATGAGGTTTAATGATTCACAGAGTACTGATAATGGAGCCAGGTGGCAGGCAGAGCCTCTATCTATGGCGGTATGGTTTCAAGCCAAACAGCGGGTGTCGCATTCAAACAACTAAAAAAGGTGCGCCTCTTTGCTTGTAGTAATTGGAGAGCTTCAAGTTGCAAGACGGAAGTGGGAGCAGCTGTCTGTGCAAAGGAATATCTTGTGTTATGGTCTGTGGACCCAACGGACACGGTGCAAAGTCCACACCAGTCACAAGCCCCCAATCCCCCCCCACCCCCCAATCTCTGGATTCGACGCAGAGATTAGAAAAGTCATAACTGCCTGTGGTTTTGATTACACCTACATAACCATGGCGATATGCAAAGCAGACCAACCAAGAACTAATCAAACCAGATGTGCCTCTTTGTGATACTTAATTTTTTGTCACGTCAAGTCCCAACACAGCACACAATTCAGGAGCATTATGTTTATGCACACACGGACACACACTCACAAAAGCACTAATTGCATGCAAGCAGTTAGTGAAGACTGAACACCTGTGCAGGTGTCTGTATGATAGCTCCCAGATGAGAAAGGGCTTGTTAATGCCTGATCTGTTTCAATGTCTTATTAGCAACCGACGCACCTAAAAAACTAAATGCACTTGTGGGTCAATGGTCAAGTCAAAAAGCTGGTTTATACTGAGTTAAGAGAGGTAATGACTTTTAAAAGTTCTTTTAATACAAAAAAAGTGCTTGCTAGGTTTTAATAAAAGTAAAAATATCTTATTTGTAATTTGGTTCAAGTGGACTTCAGCAACTGAAAAGTCTGCGTCCAAAACAGTTAAAAGGATTAAAGCTGCAGCAAATAAAACAGACAAGGGAACAGCAAAAAAGAGAGTAAAGATACATTTGATTTAACCGACGTACAGCACAAGCCATGTGAAGCTACAACTGCTCAACTGAAGCTAGTACTGCATGATAGATGATATTTCTAGGTACTTATCTATTTTATCAAATTTGGCGAAAGGACAGCGCCCTTGCAAAGCTCACATAAATGATAGGAAATAAACTCAATGTCTAGAGCCGACGGCCTGTCAGCAGTTGTAGCTTCAGGACCTGGCTGCCCTGTAGTCGCATTTTTTTCTGTTTGTTGTGTCACAACCATGCAGATGAGCGCATGAAAGACTCACCTGGCAAAGATGTGTAACCATTCTCTAGAAGAGAGGCATGCATGAGAGTGAGAGAATGAGTGAGACGAAAAGAGAGAAATAAAAAAAATAATAAATCCAGTGAAGGCAAAAGAGCAGCAAATGTGAGTGGTCGACAAAAATTCCAGAGAAGAGCACGACTGGTGAAAACAAATGCTGTCATGGAGGGAGGCAAACTTTTTAATCAATAGATAGGACACAAATCAGCAAGGCATCTACAAGTTTTATAAGTGTGCTTGGTCCTGGAAATACTGTGGGCTTCCTGAGAAACGTTCCCCCCAAATATGGCAGGATTTTTGCAAATCTGTAAAGGCGAGGTGATAAAGACGCTTTGTGCAGATTTAGGTCTAAACGATTATATTGAAGAAACAACTGTAAACATCAGTTAGACCACAAACCAGAAGGACTGTGGCTCTCTGCACAGTGGAGGGCTTGTCGTCATACTGCATGGGAGCTGGGTTTTGTCAATACATCGGGGCCAAACCAAGAAATATCTCTTTTTGCTTTCAGGACGAAAACAAAACAAAAAAACGTAAAATAAATATTTCTGACAAAAAACAAATGCTGGAGAGAAAGATGTTTATCATTTTTACCGACGACGGACAAAAGTGTCCTGATTAGGAGCTTGATCTTTTCGAAGTTTCCGGATAGCATGGCGATTGAATCCAATGCGGCAACGTAAACCTTTGAGAGAACTTTTGTCTTCTTCTATGATTTGCCAGAGAAGTACTGTGACTAAACATATTAAGAAAAATACATGTGCACACAGCACCTTTATGCCATAAATGTTAATGAACTGTGAAGTTTCCTGGAAATCCTGAGCTGCTGCAGCCTTGCTGCTCTGTGTGCATCTATTTGACATTAAGGCAGAACGCTTATGGTGGTGACAACAATGAGGGGGAAGCAGGGGAAGAGGTGAGGTGGAGGGAGAAGAGCAGCAGACGCGGGGGTTACCTCTCGTTTGGCGAGAAGCACGTTGGGGACGATGTGGGGGAGACATCGCCCCAGCATGAGCATCACGCTCTCCTCGCTGTCCGCTATGCGCGACACCTGCACACAAGGGCGATAAGACACACACACCGCTCTAGCTGCTGCCCTCACATGTATGGATTTCATTTTGACCATTCTGTGGTGCCCACCTCCGCTCCGAGGCGGCTATCGGAGCACATTCTGCAGAAGGACAGCAAGGCTTGCTGGAAGGCCGGGGATAACTTCCTGTAAAAGAAGAACGAAAAAAAAAGCCAGAGACGAGAAGCAGTCGTTACTGGATGTTCTGCTACATTTCTTCTGAACACCGCAGAAACTTTGATGATTGCTTTGACCACTAACAGGGGTATGGACCGGGCCAAGCAGCAAAGAAACTCAACACTTCAATCTCTTTTTGGAACTTTAGACGGATGAAGTATGAGCTAAAGTTAGTTTCTGTTCCCCCCAGGAAGATTTTTACAGAATTCTACATGAATCTGAAATCTTGCATTACATAAGTTAAACTTAGGAAACCAGCCAAGTAAGGCACCACATTTAGAAGGTAAGCGCCGTTTAGACGAAAACATACATGATAAGCAGCTCTGTACTCTGAATACAGCTCGCCTCTTCCATCTAGTGGCTACATATTGTAACGACACTGACATGAGCAACACAATTACCTGACAACTATGTGGCAAATTTGCAATAAACAAGTGAGGACTGATTAAGTGAATTTTAAATTGAAGGAAGTTGATTAAAGATTATTTAACTATCCATAATCAGAATTTGAAGTCTGAGTGTGGGAAAATGATTTAAAAAACAACATAAATGTCAGCTTGATGGTAATTTTTATGAGAAAATAGAAAAAAATCTATATTCCATTGCATGTGCAGAGTTTAAGGATGGATATAACATTAACATGCTTGCGTTTATTTCTTGAACTCACCTGTTAGGCTGGTCAAACTGGCCCCTTGGCTGAGATTTTATCTTGTTGCAGGGCTGTGTGTGGGGCTGGGATGTGTTCTGAGCAGCGGGATGATCTTTGTCCGCATCTGAAACCCCTCTGATGTCCAGATACTGGCCGTTATCTACAGGAGGCTGAGGTTGAGACAACTGGCAATTAGGATAAATAAATTAAATCCAAAGGAAGAATTTTTTTCATTCATGTCTTTAGAAATCACAATACTTTTTGTGCGACACTGGCCCCAGTTAACTCGCTGTTGCACCATCTCTACGTATTCAAAAGAGCTACATACCACAGAGGGAGGGCTGGTAGAGCAAGAAGGGGTGGTGTTAGGAGAATTCTGAGAGGCCAGGTTTAGTGAGGCCTGAGGTGGAGAGGCGACGGTCCTTTTCAGAGTCTGAATCTCACTGTGGAGGATTTTAAATGGAAGACTTTGTCAATAAAGATGGGCATCCCATATTATGGAGGCAGAAAGTCAATGTGACGATCCATTTTTCTTTGTGATCCCAGTCTGCCACGACAGGAGACCTTGTCCCATCGTAATTGTAAATCACTAAAAGATTGCCCCTGTGGAACTCTTGTGGGAATTTTAGGTGCTAGCAACAGTATGGAGTACAAAGCTTAGAGCCTTTTATATTTTGGTGGATGCTTTTACTGCTACCTTGGTGGTCCTAACAAACGTATTTTAAAAAAAAATTAAAAAAGCAAAACATCTGTGATTAATAGCATCATAGCATGTCGTGCCAAAGCCAGACTGACATACAGATGAGTATGTGAGAATAATCATGCCCTACCTCTGCAGTTTCTTGATCTGCTCAGCGAGGGTCTGCTTCTCACTGCTGAGCAGGCTGAGCTGGTACTCCAGTTCCTGCACCATTTCCGTTTGTTGCTGTTCAAGAAAAGAAACAATTGGCTTTGTGCTCGTTCTTGCCAAAGAAGCTAACACATGCTTGCTCATGCTACTGGATAGTTTGTAATGCGATACGAGGGATACGACGCCTACAAAATGGACAACCGGTTTATTTCCACACACCTGTTGTGACAAATCAGGCTTCTTTGGGAGCTCTTGAGCAATGCAGTTTCCTGGAAGATCACCGAAATTCACCCCGACCGACACGTCCACCGTATCTCTGGGTGAAGGCTGGGTGCTGCCACAGTTTCGGTAGAGCTGCAACAGGTCTGGGGGTTTTGGGATGTTGAGCCCAACATCATCCCACAACTCAAAGTCCTGGAAATAAACATACAGTAAAATGATTAAATAGCTGTTCATCATTACCTTAGCCCTATAAATAAAACGCTAATCATCAAATTAACTACTGAATCTACTAATGGTCATGTTATCAGGGTCAGAGCAGTCACCATTTTAAAGTCCTTTTCTTTTTCTTTAGGAATAAAAAGAAAACAGAGGCTGCGTTCACATTAGAGCGACTGTACAGAGACACTTTCCAGTAGCTTTACAAAATAGACGGCCAATAACGGCGTTTTTACCTGGTCATCATTTTCATCCGAGAAGGTGATGGAGGAAAGTTTATACTCATTTTTCAATAAATATTCATTCACAAGGAAGTTTAAGGCTCTTTTCTCCAGTGGGCGTATAGGCTCCTGAGATAGGAGAACAGAAAGAGTGTCAGTGCTACTCCATTAAGGTTGTCTGTTTGTTTTTTAAACACGAAAAATATTTGGTAAATCAAAGATAAGGGAAAATCTTAACATTTTTCCAGAGATTTCCCACCTGAATGTCTGGGCTTGACTTGAAGTTTTTCCTCTCTTGAGAGGGCACTTCGCTCTCTGTGAAAATAAGGAGACATTGAATGCTTGAACAGAGGCAGAATCTTTGCCATCCAGAGGTATCAACAAAAAAGATTGAAGGCTGTAACAAAACGGGTTCAGGTGGAGAAGAAGTTGAAAGTACGCCACACCTGCTGCCTGAGTCAAGTTGGCGCGCAGAGCCTGAATGGTCTCCTTTGCTTTCCGTAGCTCAAACTCCAGCACTGGACAGGAAATGACAACACACACACAGGAAGTGGATCCAACCAAAGGCAGGGATCAAAACAAAGATGGGGGTTTAAAAAAAAGAAAGAAAAACAACACAAAAGATAAAAAGATTCATCAGAAAAAAAGGATTAAAAAAAAGGTAGCATGCAAATCATGGGTTGAAAAAAAACAAAGCATGCGGCAGAGGACCATGGGAAAGCTGGCTGAATGTTTGTTGGACAGGTGTGTGTGTAATGCATTGAGGAACACCTCAATTTCATGAATTCTTGCCCTTATTGAAATTAAAAGATAAATGAGTTTGAATTCCATTTAATCTTTAACTCAATTTGAATCAATTCAATTTATGAAAAGTGAAAATCTAGGATGCTGTCTGACACAGGATTTTTTTTCAGGCTAATGTTATTGTGTTTAGTCTTGATCCAATCAAAGGACAGCCACTGCTCAGGGAACTTTTCCTCACACATAAAGACACGAAACAATGAAACAGCTCATTTCTAAGCCATAAGAGAAAGAGTCAAATCATAATTCAGACATGGTTAGGTTTGTGTTTTGGATCCATTTCCTTTTTTTCCCCCTCCCCCCTCTGGATGAAATCATAGCTTATGACAAAACAAACAAACTCACTAGCTCACGGCTAAGACTGAATTAGGCAAAACAGCAAACAAGATCTTAAAACACTTAAGGGTTGAAACGCATGCAAAAAGTTTTTAAAAAAAGTGATGGAGCAGGGAAACAAGGCTGCATGGCTGTGCACTGAAAATCTGCTATTTGGATGGGATTGTTGTTCTAAAATATATCATCCCAGTTGGTTTCACACTTCTAAGTAAAGGGGTTTAAACATGCCAACACACAAAGTGTGAAACCCAGATTGGAACCATGACCAATGATAGATAATATTTCAGGATTTTGTTTTTGCTTCAGTTGAAATAGGGGATTTAATGTCATAAACTCGCTTGTGCGCCACAAGACTCCACTCTTTATTTTTTTGTTTTACTGTTTCCACCAGATCTAGAGTGCACAGGCTGCTGTGGGTACAAAATGGAAAACCAAGAACTTAAAAATGGGGGCAGAAAGATACAAAAATACAAAGAAAAAAAAAAAAAGAAAAGGAAAAAGCTAGTCTGGATGGAGTGACTTGTCCAGAATTTCACTGGGGTTTGATCAACGTCAGGAGGGAAGCCAGAAAACCCAGAGTCAGACAGCTGGGGGCAGGCAACTTGGCAAGAAGAACCAGGTCGGGGAGAGGGTGGGGGGGGGGGGTGAGCAGAGGTGGTTGAGAAGTGAAGAGAGGATGGGGGGAAGGTGCCAATTCTGTACACACGAAATTAATGTGAATCGCGGTCATTTGAAAAAAAGATGACTTGTTTTTTTCTTTTTGGGGTGAAACCAACATCTGTGCTAAAATTATCAGCTCATATCAGCCCAAAGCACCGCTGATGTTTAAGGTGTGCCCACTTCCAATACAATTGATTCAGACTTCTTTTTTAAACAAACAGTCATGCTTCTCCAGTCTCGTATCGCTGATTTGCATTCCATGAAGCCACATTTATGGATTTGGGGCTTTCTGGGGTTGTGTGACTAACATTTCCCACTCAAAGGCAGGGGTGGCCACAGCGAGCCAGTAGTGCATGACATGAACAGTCAGCTGTTGCACGGTGTAAGAATAATGTGTTCATGTGGGCAGCTATCACAAACTGATCAGATAAAGGCAACATCTAAATAACATGAACACCAAGGCACCGCCATTTCTTCTGCATTCTGCAATAGAGCAATGAGAAAATGTCTTCATTTGTTTTTTCTTTACTAAAGAGGTGAAAAATCCACGTGATGCACCACCTGCAAACGAATCACTTGCTCATATTTAGCTGCTGCTCTTCAAAGCCGGCACCATGCTTGCGCTGCATGTATAAAGGTGTCAGACAGAGCTGAGAGTGCACTGTGGCTAAAATCTATGGAATGGTGTGTCACGACAGAGCTGTGGGGGACGGGGAGTGTTATTGTAAAGAAAGCTGAGACAGGCCCCGAAACCCAAAATACCACTGATTAACTTCCTGGTGTGACAGCTGATGGGAGGAGGCACAAAAGCCTCCACAAAAGGTGAGGCAAGCATCACAATGCTTGTGAGAATGTGCTTTTTCTTTGCCCAGGATTTTACAACCTTTGGTTAGTTAACGCTATTCCTGCTGGGCTATTAAAATACGTCCTACGTCCTCAAAATGCTTGCTTAATTTTTCTCCAACTGTTCATATATCCTCCTGATCGTGTACCTCCACAAAGGAAAGGCGGGTCTTGTGCGTGAGGCTGAGACGGCGCGGTGCCTCTTACCTGCCACCCGCTCGTCCGTCTCTCGGTTCCCGTCATCTGAGTACCGTGCAAAGTCCAGGGAGTCCAAGGTGCTAATGCTGCCCGCTCGATCTGAACAGAGACACAGAGATAGCAGTGAGCTGAGGGTAACATCACACGGAACAATTACGGAGAAAATCCCTCGGCTCAGACAGCAAATAAGAAAATAAGACATGGTTGAGAAACACAGCCCTGCCTCTGGGCTGCAGGATGAAGGCCGACTGTGGGGTTCACCATGCTGCCCATGGACTCTAAACCAGTCAAAAGGCAGAAATCCCCTCTTACCAAACAGCAGCTTTAGAACCGAGCACGGGTGGAGAAAAAGTGCCGTTCCCCGAGTGACAACAAGAGGCTGACAGTTGAGCGTACTCATGCTCACATTTCACTGAGCGGCGCCGCTCTGATAGCTTTATCAACGGTGTAGGCTTTCCTTCCACAGCAAAGCGATTGCAGAAGGTCAAGCCAGACTCTAACCTTATTCACTGTGTCAGTGACAAAGATTAGAGAGGAACTGTTTAAAAAAAGAAAATGCTGGTATCCACCACCAGGATATATTGATTACTTTTGGAAGTGGATTATAACTTTATATCATCAAATTCATTATAGGAAATGCTCACAAACATTTGAAGGATGTCTACTATGTGCATTTGTGTGTCACATGTTCAAAGGAATGTCCATGCAGCTTCAGAAAAGCCTCACACCCTCAGTCCTGTGACTGCACAGAGAAAACTTCAGCGTGAGATGAATTAGTGTCATTGTTCAGGCTGATTTCACCTTATCTGGACCTCCTCTGTGTCAGTTGGTGACAGTTTTTTTCTTGATAAGGTGTCCAGATTTTTTGCAGTGAACAGCCACAATCCAATCCAGCCAAACAGAGCTGAAATTTAATTCCATAATGTTCTGAAGCGTTCGCGGATGGTGCTTATTTATGCCTGGTTGACCTTTTTAGTTCTGCGCAGACACCAAATGCGCACAATAGACGGATTCGGCCTTCTCCGGCGGAAAGGCCGAGGGGACTGATTAAAGACAACATGGGGTAAATTAGTTGAGACGCGGGACAAAAAGAATTATTTGAAAAAATATGGGTGCCTATTGAAGAGACAAGAGAGAATGGAATACCAGGAGCCAGCCAACAGGCTCATTTGTTTTAATTGAGGGATTTTTGTTGGCAAGAGTAAGCCTGGGCTAGAATGTGCTCATGAGGACAAAACAATGGGGCCCAAATTGTAAAGAAGGCACAAACAGGAAAAAAAAACAGCTAAATATTTACGGTTATGTCAAAACATCATAGTTACAGTTATTTCTAAGATTGAAGCACTTCTCTTTGTTACTGAACTAATCTGATTTCCAAACATACATTTCTTATGATAGTAAAAGGTCCCTATCATCCCAAATTTAACCCTAACATAACCCTGTGAGGTTCATATAGGGTACATTATTAATTTATTTCCTTTTTAAATATTATTATTTCAAATATTAATTTATTTTTTTTGTTAATAAACTACACAAACCTAATAAATATGTCACCTTACCGTAAATCTTGACTGCCCTCTCTGAAATCTGTCATGTGACCAAATAACTGCCTGACTATCCAATGATGGGGGAGCAATTATCATACATCCCACCATGCTGTCTATCACCAAAGGGGTGGGAGATGCCTCGCTGTGTCATGGGACCTACACTGTCATGGCAGTGTGCTTTTGGCACAGAGGCACAAGTTGTGTTTAAATATATATATATATATATATATATACATACACACATCTTAGTTAATTTCAGTTTCTTCTAAATTTCATGTTTTATGAACAAACCCTGGTTCATCAGCAACTAGTTAGACAGAGATTAATATCTCTCTGTGACAATCCTTTCAGCACAGCATGAGAGTAGCTGTCAGGACTGTCATAATTTTTAAAGACTGCTTTTTTCTTTCTGGCATCAAGCTCCAAGCCTTTAGGCAGCTTGTGCAACCCTCAGACCTGTATAAATAACAGGCAGCTCCTCAAATTTACATTTGAATTAAAATGGTCTCCTAACAACAAAAAAACACAACACAATGTAATCGCACAGTCTCGATAGGAAGAGGCTGACACTCCCATCTGCAGCAGCAGGCCTACAGATGACCCACATTTGACCCCACAACTGCCACATGACACATCAAGTCATAGTTCAGCGCTACAAATCATCTGAATGAAAAGTGCAGACTTCCCAACCAGCAGAATGCATCCTAAAGACTGCTCGCTTTAAAAATAAATCATTCAACTGCAACACAAGAGGTGCAGATGTTCTAATCAATCGTAAACTCAAACACTCACTTAAATCTGCGAATGTAGAGAGGAAGAGTGGAACAACACCCTTCACAGCATCTCAAAGAGGGACGGCAATCTGACTTTCTTCTACTTCAGACTGAATCAAATGGACAGTACAACTGAAACTAATTGAGAGCAATTCATTCTTCTTCATTGAAATGATGGTCCAGGAGGCAAAAGACGCCTACTGGCGTAGCAAAGCACTTTTATCGTCAAGCTGAAAAGACCACCTGCTCTCACAGAGAGAAGATGGCTCACGTAAATAGATTTTTTTCTTGAGAATCATTTAAATGAAAATGTAAAAAAGCAGTCAATTTAAGTTGAATCGGTGGAAATTGGGCCTTTAAAGTATGGGCAGTGTGCGTGAATTTCAACTTATGCATGTCTATTCTACCCTTCCCTTGCTTCCAGACTTTCCAGACAAGATAAGTCCTCTGCATTGCCACGTTATCCTACAGCAGCCCGCCTTTAAGCGCAGTTAGTCAAGACCTAAACTCCTCATTGTGCAAGCTTTATTCGTTGCTAAGTCAAGGGATTGTGGTTACAAAAGTTATTCTTGCCATCATCAGTGGGTTACAAGTGGACAAAGGTGCTACGGAGTCTGATTTTCAATAGTTAGTAGAGCACAATAACCATTTACTGTACCTTAAATCAGATATTGAAGTTTCAAAGACCATTCATAAGGTCTGATACATTGCTGTGTTCTCCACAAGAAGATAACAGCCCTCTGTACAAACCCCAAATGTATTTTACTAGGTAAATTCATACTTGCAAAGGCAGGTTGCAGCAGAATCTGGATATATCTTACCCATCTTTTACAGTTTTCAAACTGATCTTTTCATTTACCTCTGACCTCACTGGTAAAAAAAAAAAAGACGTCTCCCTGCAGAGAGTTCAATTTAAACCCTGTTCTGAAGCTATATCATTCATTTATCTTCACAATCAATCTTGAATCGGTAGGCTGACATCGTGTAGTGGCCTAGTCACATTTCTGAGATACCCTGGGGCTCTGTTCTGGCTGCCAAGACCAATGACCCACAAAACCCGTCTGATGACTGCGGCCCTTGGGCAGCACACCGATACCTCACGATCAATTGACTTCCAAAAAACCGCATTTAATGCAAACGCGACCAAACGACCAGGTCATCTCGGTGTCACGTAGCGTTAAATACAAAGCACGCCATTTCTACCGGTTGCAGCGGACATCATCACTTACTCAGTGGTCCTCCGGGTCCGAGCACCTGGTCTTTGGCAGGTGGAGTACCGCTCTGTCGCTCGAAGTTGCCGGGGTTGGAGAAATAATCTCTCAGCCGCGGAAGCTCTCTTCCCGCTTCCAGGAGTTCCGTGTGGAACTCCAGGGCCGTTAGAATGTACTGGTCCCGCAACAGCTGAGAAGCAATGACATCCGCAGATACTCGCGCCTCGGCACCGGCAGCCATAGCGGAGGTAGCCGCGGCCGACACGGTGATGCCCTCGCCACTGGGGCTCGTCCGGTTGCTAGACAGCAGGAGCGTCGGAGGCTCGGCGTCTGCCGGAGGAGAAAATGGGTTGCCCGGCGGTGGCCCTGGCGCTCCGTCACTCGGGCTTCTCTCTGTGTCAACCGTTTCATTAGGACGCCTTTCAGCTTCCTCTTCAGAATCACTGAGATTGAAAGGGTTGACCGACGCCATTTTTCCACTATAGTGTTTTTTTTTTAGCAACCTAAAGCTAGCTAAGCTAATCAGACCCGCTTCTTCCTGAATGGATAATGATGTAGGTGGTGTTTACAAGGAAAATAAACGAAGCCTATGATTGGCTATATTAGAGCTAGGTTACCCCTTAAGCCCGCCTCTTAAAAGGGATACTGGAAAGTAATTGGATATTTCTGGGGCGAACTGGGCAGGGCACGTTTGACAGACGATAGCCTTTGTGGGCTAATGTGTTGCTTAATTAACAGGTTGTTTAAATAACAGTGATGAGTTAGACTGTACTGTAACTTAACAACATTAGTGTTGAATCATATCAATTTAGTCTGATAATATTTTCAGAAAGAAAATCCACTGGGAAAGAAAGCGTGGTTTAACTACAATACCTACAATTCAACAGCGAAACTCATGCGTCAAATGTCTACGTCAACATCACAACAAGGAAGCGGTTGCTCGCGGTGCCTGTATTTCTTGTTGTAATCTTATTAGAAAGGGTGGCAGTTGGTTTTGTAAAAGCATCCACTTGTAGATTACGTTGATCTTGTTTGGAAAATCAGAACCTATCCTGCTGGGTCTCTGGGTGTATAAAATATACTTTTTGAAGATTAAATTTTGGTGTATCAGATAAATTGGCAAAATGTTAAATAGATACGAGCTTCCATTCATTAATCAGACAGCATTCTTCGCTTTTACGTTCTGGTTTTAATGAGGCTACATGTAGGTAAGTCGACTTTTTTTGCATCGTCAAAGAGATAACTGATTTAGCTCCCTCGTCAAACATGCTACCTGTAAATGGCTCCAATGGAAAAAAAATAAAAATAAAGAAAAAGTGCGGAAGCTATTTGTGACACTATATTCTGACCTACTGCCAAATGACATATGGTGAACGGATTAGTCCTGCTCTTAAACAGCCATTTCATGGCACATGATTTGGCTTAACCTTTGTTATACTTAAGTTAATATCTTCCCTGTTTGACATAACTTCATTGATTAATAAAATAACTGGACTATGCCATTGTCTGTATCTGTGATTTAACTGATATTTTTTTCTCTTTTTGTATGTCCTCAAATGAAATACTCCCACCATCCTCTCAAGTATCTTCACAGTTTCTCTTCTGAGCCAGTGTAACCCTGATACAAGATGAGGATGATCACCTTTTTTCTGGTTGGGCTGATCGTCCATGTAGTCTTCTTCGTGTCTATCTTCGACATTTACTTCACATCTCCCTTGGTCCATGGTATGACACCCCAGTCCACACCCCTGGCACCACCTGCCTCCAGGCTGGTGCTGATGGTGGCAGATGGCCTCCGGGCTGACAGTCTCTTCACCCTGCTGCCCAATGGCTCATCTCGGACTCCGTACTTGAGGTCAGGAAAGTGATTAAAAGTAGTGGGCTTTGATGTGAGGTGTTTGTTAGATTATGAATCTGTCCAGCATTGGAACTAGTATGCATTGTACTTTTTAATGTTCTGCTTTAGTTTGTGAATGTTGAACCAATATGAAATATAATCTTTGTTTGCTACTATCAGAAGTGTAATAGAGGACACCGGTACCTGGGGTGTGTCACACACACGTGTGCCCACTGAGTCTCGACCTGGTCACGTTGCCCTCATCGCAGGTTTCTATGAGGATGTCAGTGCAGTTGCAAAAGGTAAGTGCATGTTGAAGTTTATTTCGACAATATTATTGGAATGATTGATATCAGTTAAAGTGTTAAATGTACCCATTTTCAGGCTGGAAGGAGAATCCTGTGGAGTTTGATTCGGTGTTTAATGAGAGCAGGTACACCTGGTCCTGGGGAAGCCCTGATATCTTGCCTATGTTTGCCAAAGGTACACATTCACACACGATTCTAAACATCAGAAGCCATTTCGCATTGACTGCATGTATTTGAAATAAAGATTTAAGTTGACTCTAGCACTGTTATCAGAACATGTTGCAACTGTAAGTCCATCTCTATAAAATGTGTTGCTGATAAAATAATTAAATTACCGAATAGAAAACAATCGATTTTCCTGCTTTGGGTACTTCTAGGTGCTAGTGGAGATCATGTATACACCCACACGTACCCAGCTGAGGAGGAGGACTTTGCCTCTATGGATGCCTCCAGGCTGGATAGCTGGGTGTTTACTCAAGTTAAAGTATGGTACTTGAAACAATAGCCATGAATTTATCTATTAATAGCAATGCAATCAGACCTGAATTTAAAAAAAAAGTTTGTAGAATTTCCGTGCTAACGTAATATTTGATCTTTTTAACAGTCCTTATTCCAGTCAGCAAAGTCTAACTCCACCTTGAAGGCCAGTCTACTCCAGGATAAGAATGTCTTCTTCTTGCATTTGCTGGGCATTGACACTAACGGGCATGCTCACAGACCAATGTCGCGGTGAGTAGCCTACAGTCAAAATTCAGTTTTCTCTTAGATCCTTTAAATCCATCATTAATTATAATGCTGTTGTCTTTTATTACATCTTTTTTTTATCACAGGGAATACCTAGACAACATCGCCCTGGTAGATGCAGGTGTGGCTGAGCTGGTGTCTATAGTAGAGGACTTTTTTGGTTCTGATGGCAGAACGGCATATGTGTTTACCTCTGATCACGGCATGACAAACTGGGGTAAGGCTTCTTTGTGTTAAATAATGAAAAAGGCATAAGTCGCTGCAGTTTTCTGTCTTAGCATGCTTGTGTCTTTGTCTCCTTTCAGGCTCCCACGGTGCAGGCCATCCATCGGAGACGCTCACCCCTTTAGTGGTGTGGGGAGCTGGAGTTAATTATGCCCAGAGAGTTACAGAGCCCCAACCATACGAGGACGGGTACCTTCAAGGTGCATTAGAAGGGATTTTTAAAATCGAGTTTATCCTCCAACTTTTACACCGTTTGGCTGATGGACTTTTTGCTGTTGCATGTGATTGTTCTGCTGTTTTCCCTCAGATTGGCAATTGGAGCACATTCGTAGGGCTGATGTCAATCAGGTAAGGATCACAAAGAGAGAATCTAAAAGGGTAGCCATTTCTAAAGATTGAACATAAGATTGTATTCCTTTTGGGTTTTTCAGGCAGACATTGCACCACTCATGGCTTCTCTCATTGGTTTGCCCATCCCTGTCAACTCAGTTGTAAGTCAGTGGATAATCTACAGACAATCGATATGCGTTTTCCTTTTGAAACACAAAGAGAGTATGAGTGTGTTTTTGTGTCCCTACAGGGTGTGTTACCTCTCCCTTACCTTAACAATAGTGACCAGTTCAAGGCAGAAAGCATGTACACAAATGCTATTCAAGTACTGGAGCAGTTCAAGGTATCGTGCTAAGATTTCCTGTTTTAAGTGAATTTATATTCGTTTAAAATCTCGGTTGGCAACTTCTTATTTCTTACTATCACCGTGCGATAAAGCCATTTTTTTCCTTTTCTTTTTCTTTTTTCAGATGAAAATGAGCCAGAAAAAGGAGACAACGTTGCCATTTCTCTTTACTCCATACCAGTAAGCAGAAAAAGGGAATGAATGACCTCTGAACCGAGCTAGAAAGATTAAATCAAATTATCAGCCATGTTTATCAAAGAGTCCTCAAATCATATACAAAGTACCTGAGAAAGGAGTTTAGGAGTTTAGTCTTTTCCATATTTTCAACAATAATTAAGTTGCTCATTGCACTGGTCAGATGACCCTTTTGGGGTTTAAATGTGGGAATAAAAGGGATGCCCTCGTACCTGGTTAGCAAATTAAAAGACATTCCACATGTTTTACCTGTATGACTTTGTTTCTCTGTATTTCCAGACCTCTGACTGAGTCAAAACAGACAGAGCTCACACGCAAAGCTCGAATACTGATTCAGCTGGAGAAGTACAATGAGGCTGTAAGTATCAAGGGAAGGCTAGAGAGCAGGTTATTTGAGATAAAGGGAGATAAAGTCAAAATGAAATTAGTTTTGGATACTTGGATCTGATTTTATTAAGCTGCTGTCATAAAGAGTTTTGTTTAATGGAAGTATATTGGAATATGGATAATTCACTTCTCTCTTAGAATCTTTTAACTGTTTTTTTTGGCATTTAATGAGATTCTGCCACTTTTCTCTTATGCCAGATCTCTCTGTGCCAGTCTCTGATTTCCTTTTCTCTGGAGGGACTGATCTACTTCCACACCTATGACAGGTTCTTTCTGGGTTGCAGTGTGGTGCTTGGATTTGTCGGCTGGACTTCCTACGTCATCTTAGTCATTTTGAGGACCCACGCTAGCCTCAACAGGCACCCTAATCTCACTGCACAGGTTGGAATGGGGGTGTCGAATGTCTGCATCTTCGATTATTTTCACCTTAACTCACTTTTGAAACTGGAAAGTCCTATTAAGATGATGTGAATATTCTAATGTGTGCAGATTTCCAGTAAGAAATTGGGGAGGCTGTGTACATGTGTGGGGGCAGTAATCACCGCATTCCTGCTTATTCAAAGAAGCCCTCTGACTTACTATGTTTACTGCCTGCTGCCCATCCCTGTGTGGTACTCTGTTTTCAAAGAGTGAGTAAAATGCTTTTGGAAATGTACAGGAAAGGAAAGCCTGACATATATATCTGCAAATGTACATTATGCCCTAGAACTGTTAGGAATGAAGAATTTGGTATTAAAGATGTTTGAGAGTGACAGGATTTGAAAATATATCTGCAAAGATCTTTTCTGCTTACGGAATTGGAAGTTTTGCTTTGGATGTCACTGACATCACAGACACATTTATGCTTTCCCTGCCCATGCTGCAGAAATATGCAAATGAGTTTCTCTGAAGTGATGTTTCCATTCATCTTTCTAATCTGTGAATGAATAGGGCTTGGCTTGCCACATTAGTCTTTTCTGATATTTTTTCTACATCATAAAAATGATCCTATTTGCAACCCACTTTAGGTCGGGAGCGCTGACAGATTTGATTTGGTCGGCCCCCTCTCTTCCTCTTTGGAAATGTTTTGGTTATTTCGTGCTGGTGGCATTTGGGATCGAGCTTCTGGTAAGTGTCTATAAATCAGCGTAATTAAAGACACATTTCTGTTGCAGAGAACAGTAACAAAATAAGTCTTATAGGTTGATCAGGCCGCCCTTAAAAGATACTCACCAGAGACTGTAGCTCATCCTCTTCAATGTGGCTCTGCTGCCCCCAGGTGGCGAGTTTCTTTCATCGCGCCATGCTGACAGTAGGTCTGGTGGTCCTCTCCCTGTGGCCCTTCCTGTCAGGACTTTTTGGCAAAGCGAAGGTAATTATCCAAAAGTTAATTTTCCTGTTGTCACACTGATCCAGGAAAATCCATGCTATTTTCATATTCAGTTTCCATGGTTATGGAAAACAGTGTCGGAAATATTGCGATACAATGCAGGGTTGTTCTCAAAATAAAAAAACAAATGCACCACGACAACTTCTGAATGAACTATATTCACTCACTTTAACTCTTCTTTTCCAGATGTTAGGAAATGATTTGTCATTTATTTTTATTATAACCATCTGCACAAAAAAAAGAGTCTAAAAAATAATAAGAGCATCCAACCAACGTTAGATTTGAAATTAAATGCATTTTTATGTCTTTATTTATTCATTTCCATGTAGTCCATATCCATAGCCTGTTCATTTAGGTTGGAATGAAGTAAAAGGGACATGGGTTATTACGGTAAATCTTAACTTTTGAGAGATTTGCCTGCCATATTTGGAAAAAGATTAAAAAAATTACACTCGTAGTTGTGAGAGAACTGTGTGTGCATGTATGTTTTTAAAACATTTAGGTGCATGAAACGGCACACCACCTTATGGGGATTTCCTCTTTGTGTGTGTGTGTGTGTGTCTGTGTGTGGGAAAGAGAGAGAGAGAGTGAATTTTTTAAGTTAAAAGTGCTAAATGTAACAGTATTCCATATGGAGTCACAATAAGTAGTCTGTGAGGAAGAAAACTGAAAACCGTGTCTCCTCAGTGGTGCAGTCAGTCAATAAGAACCTGTCAACCCTGTTGTCAGCCGTTTTGTAGTGTACTCTACAGTTAACAGCTCATTTTTTGTGTTTTTTTTTTTTACCCACATAGTTCCGTTCATTGAGCTGGTTTCTGGGCTGTTTGTGTCTGGCTGCTTTCCCCCTGATGCCGGTTGTGGGTAGAGAGCCTAACCTACATCTGGTGTGAGTACTTCTTTTATTTCCTTACATTTACCAGAATATTAACCACAGCGTCACGGCCACGGCTGAAGCGCAACAAAGAGATTCAGATCAGGTCGGTTACAAGGCAGAATCTAATCTCACCGTACTGAAGAAGTCTTACACATAACCGCAGAGTGTCGAAAGAAATGGTAACGGGATGAGCGATGTTGGTGGAAATAGGAAAGCCGTGGTGATACAGACACGTTCACCGTCTATGTTTACTGTAGACATATTTGTTTTTTGGGGGGTATTTATACAAATCTAATTGTATGCCGCATTAACATCAGGAAAGAGAATCATGACCAAACTAATTGAAAAGACCAGGAAAAAAGGTTTAAAAAGTTGTTGAAACTTATGAAGGCTGGCTAAGGATTTTTCTGAAATTTACAGAAATCACCACATACTGACAATAAAACCTCTTTGAACATGGGAGAGGTCCCCAACCCTGAGACATTAACACCTCTGGTCATGTTTTTAGGAGATTGAAATGATGGCCAAGCCATACCTGTTTGCATTGAAATGACAAAGGCTTATGGACATTACTGTATGGTGCCATCATCTATCTTCAGAGGATGGACTCACAGGTCTAATCAGTGCCCCAAACTAAGAGTCCAATCTTTCCCCTAAACAACAACAACAACAAAAAAGTCCACTCCTTTAACCTCAGGCTGGACATAAAACATTCTGGTCTAAAGCCTTGTGGAAGCAGATCATCTAAATATACTGATATCAAAGATGGAGGCCTTACACACTGTACGTGTGTTTGCATATAGCTGTATGGTTTTGAAACATACTAACAGATGATGTTTACTCACCCAGCACCTGTGCAGGTCTGCTCACTTTCTTCACCTCAGCCTGTTACCTCTGGTCCTCCGGACGGCGGACCCCTCTGCACCTAAGCGACAGGCTGCAGTTTTTCACTCAGGTACCCGCCCCGCGCGCCACACAGGGTTGCAGATCGGGAAATTCTCGTTTCGCTTACTTTCCGTCAACTTCAACAGATGCTCCACGCGGCCATGTGCGCGTACGTGCCGACCCTCACCCACTCCAGCCTGCAAGAGAAGCAGGGCCTGCCGCTGCTCAACCAGATCATCAGCTGGAGCACATTAGGTAGGTGCACGGAAGTGGGCACAACACAATAAAACCTCTTACCGTACCTCAGACTTACCAGTGAATGTCCCAGTCATATTACATTGTTATATTTGCCAGGTTTTTTTCAATACCAAAACCATTGAAAAAAACGTGGAAAAAATGTCACAATCACTTAGATCTGTCCCCCCGGCACCTCTGCCCTCTCTCCTCTTTTCCCAGCGTCCTCCATAATTGTTCCTTTGCTGAGCTCGACGCGTCTCTTCCATCGACTCCTTAGCATATTTTTGTCTCTCACATCCACGTACCTGCTGCTCAGCACAGGGTGAGGCTGCACGCACTCCAAATGAGGTCTCCTGCAGAGGTTTACCGGCGCCCACCGGTTAATGAAATATGTCTAATGCTTCTCTTCTCTCCCATTTAGGTCAGAGGCTTTGTTCCCTCCCGTGTTATCCTGGTTAATGTTCGTCTGGATCAACATTGAACAGGAGGCCTTAATAGCTCAAGGTGTCTCGGGCAGGCAAGAGGTAGATTTGTTCAAGGCTTATAATATGGTTCATCTTCTGATGGAGATAAATCTGCATAAACCACCCCTCAAACTTATCTTCTAAAATCACACTTGTACATATTTCACAGACTTAACAAACCCAAATATAAAATGCAAAACAATATTTTATCGTCAATTTTTATCATGTATGACTTTAGATATTTCTGTATTTCATGGTAAATATACTTTTCTTTCAGTTGTCATCTATCGACTTCTCTGCAAACATCGACATCACCAAGGTCCGACAGCTGAAGCTGGATGATATTAGAAGATCCTATTTTTTTGTATCCTTCTAATGATCACATAAACAGTGTCCACAGGCGGGGCTCGGTTATGAACTTTATCCAGGGAAAACAAAAATCGTTTTCAGAATTTTATGGCCATTTCCTTGACTGCATTTTCCTCAGGTATTTTTCATAATAACAGCTTTCTTCGGCACAGGGAACATAGCATCCATTAACAGGTATATTAAGGGAAGCTTCATGTGTTTGGGGGCTGAAGTGTGTGCAGCAAATGGCAGGAAGTTGTGTTTGGCCCGGGGGAATTACTTGTGGTTGCAGACAAGATGAAATGGATGTCTGCTTTTGTTGATGGTTGCATGCATTTTTATTATTAGCATGACATCATTTGAATGCATGAGGGGAATGGGTGAACTGTGAAAATGTACCTATTTTCATAGCCTATTTGCATTGTTTAGTCAGTCTAAAGCATCTAAAGCAGAAATGTATATAACGATTGTTAGTAACTGCCTCTTTTTCTTTCTGTTTAGTTTTGATCCTGCTTCTGTTTACTGTTTCCTCACCGTTTTCAATCCCTTTATTATGGGAGGTCTTATGATGTGGAAGGTACTGTATCTGAATCTCCTTCTCGGAATAAACCGAATTTAATGAACTGATTCTTTATTAATCCAAAAATATTTAGTTTATTTTTTCTTTTTCCTGTCTTGCTCTCTGTGTCTATTCTTTGCCAGTACCCTCTAACATCAGTGTTATCGAAACTCAGTCGAATTTATACATTTAAGTTTTCTTGAAATTATTTTTTGTTTTTCCTCCAGGTTATCATACCATTCATCATAGTAATGTGTACATTTGAAACCATTCAAGTGGCAACGCAGCTCTCATCAAGAAGGTAATCTCCTCCTGTGTGCTTTGAAACGATATAGTAGCTTTTGCTTATGTAACTGCTTTACATCAGTGAAATGCTCAGAGGGATGAGGGCCAGCTTATCACGCGAATGTTTTAAATAACACGTGTATACGATCCAGTGTGAAATGACAGGTTTCTTTTTTTTTATATGTGACTAAGAATTCGCTCCGAATTCCACAGGCACTGACATTGATTTTTGTGTGTCTTTCAGTTTGTTCCTCATTGTTTTGGTGATCTCTGATGTGATGGCTCTGGTAAGGCATTGCAATTCTGTCATTTTCAAATGTTTGGTGTGAGACGTGTTGTGGTTTTGTTTTGTTTTTTCATCTTCTACCACTTTCTGTTGAAAAAGGCATATCACCATTATACCAGAACTTTTTAACTCACCCTTCCTCCTTTTCAGCATTTTTTCTTCATGGTGCAAGACTATGGCAGCTGGTTGGACATTGGCACAAGGTAGGTCAACCTGTAAACACAAAGCGATTACAAATGATTGACCGAACTAAGTGCTCCTCCTCTTCTTCCGTGTGCTAACGGGTGCTGGATCTGTTTCTGTCCGTTTTAGCATCAGCCACTATGTGATCGTGATGTCTATGACCATCTTCCTAATGCTGCTCAGCGTGGTCACACACATTCTCACATCGAAAAGACTCATGCTGTGGAGGAAACCAAAGATGCACTATCCCTAAATAGGAACGTGGTTAATGTGTGCACCTATTTCGTGGTTACAGATATTTAATATTTATCTTTTTTAAAGGTATGTGTCGTCCTGTGTCATTTATACATATTGAAGTTTGTGATATGGTTGAAGGACCATATGCACTACACAGCACTATAAAATACCTCTGAGGAGTTTCAGCTGGGATGTTTTCACTGAAGGTTTTTTTTTTTACAACTTCATTCTGTATTTGTTTTCTAGGCACATTATGACATTAATCATTTATGAATTTAACAAAAGGCTGCTGTAACGTTTGACTGTAACTTGAGTATTCGCCAAAGGTGTTAATGTATGATCTATTGAAGGGTCGCTTCATTAACCCTTTTAGGGTGTAGCACTGCTTCTTGTAAAGGGACCTAAAGTTAATCTTTGATTGCTGTAAAAGGAGAAGGGTATTTGTTTAAAGCTGGGTATCTGGGAACAAAATAGTTTCTTAATTGAAATACAAAAAAGTATTAGAGGAATTACTGCCATCAGAATGGCTCTCTGTTGCACATTTTAACATGTCCGAAAAGTACATATTTGATCGACTTCATATCAATAAATGAGATTTATACAAAAAAAACTGATTACTGATATGTAATTTAGATCAAAGAAGCGGTTCTATCACCTTGGAAAACGTAAGCACATTGCTTGCTTAGGGTGCTTGCCTCCATTGGGTGAGAGGCTACAAGTTGTCAGAGTCTGCTAAGCCCCACACTGCTGTGCAGGGCCCAAATCCGACATAGTCACCGAAAAGTGTATGCTGCTTTGACGTTTGTACAAATAAAACTCAAACTTCTTCTTTCAATCTGTTATTTGAGTCTGTTTCAAACCAATTCTCCCCTGTTTAAGTCCAGTAGACTGTGTTTTCAATTCACTCACCGAAACTGACACGGCTGTCTTTTTGCCATGCCGAGGACAGTCACATCTGATGACATCATGAACATATGATCATGATAAACAGATAATTGGACTTAAACAAGCGAGAAACATCCATACATCCGTTATCCAGGCCTCTCAGTATGGTCACAGGGGGAAGCGGCCAAGAGGGCAATTATGAATTTGCCCAAATCCATTTCCATTTCAGGTTTCAAGGTGTTATCCTGAAAAAACAAGAGTTGTTGCAATTTGCCCACCTGGATCACAGAGGAAACTGCAATTATACAGCATACACCTCAATGATGTGATGTGAAGAAATCGCTCTGGTTCGAGGATGCCCTGCTGCCTTAGGGCCTGGACTGTTTACAGTCATTGATTCAGTGATAACCTCTGAATCACTCCAAAGAACGAGGATCTCAAAGTTGAGGAGGAAATGAAGCTCTCATCTTAAAACTCAAGTCATACCTCTTGAAAGCCATGTCGTTAATCCACTGACTTCTTAGAAAACACAACGGTCACACAAAGTGCAAAGTTTGCAGCATTCTCTCGACACTAGCAGAACAGCAGCGTCAGGTTTGTGGTCAGCGTAAATACAGAGGGTTTAGCTCCACTTGGCCAGCTGTCTTATGAAATGCAATGAGCCATTTATCAAATACAATCCATCATACCATGCTTGGTTAGAACGCGAACCCGTTATTATCTACACTTAGAAAAAAAGGAAATTGAATATTTATCCTTATGTTTTTATTTATTTTATATCATTTTTTTTACATTTCTTTGGAGCAATAACAACCAGAATCAGTGGAGCCACACCTTAAGTTCAAAGTGTGAAATTTAAAATAAATAAATATCATAACTCATGCTCAATTTAGACATCCCATTCTTAAACTTAGTTCTAGGCTTAGTTTAGGTAGGTGCACTGCCTCCATCCTATGACCGTGTGAACAATGGTTAAACTGGGTGTTAAAGGTTTAATCTTTTTTAATCTCCATTTCACACTGAAACACCAGCGAACTCATACTTCCCACTGTTCGTGGGTAAACCGTCACTATTACTTTAAGCCTGAATTCGACTGGTGCGCCATTTATTCTGTGTACGGATCGCACGCTGAATATTGCGCACTATTTGTGCACACGGATATGTGACAGGGACACGTATGTCAACATCACATCTACCACCACAACATCCTGTCTTCTTCTCATCGAAACGGGCCAAACAGTGTATGGCCTGGCTGACAGGCTGTGACTGACCACTGACCAGCCGGGATCATTTTCTCCAGCGTTCATAGGAACGTATCGGCGTAAAGTTTATACAGATTAGACGGATAACACATGCCTTGAATCATTTCACTGACCAAATAAAGAATTGATCAGCGTCACTTATCCCCATTGCACGAGTAGAAAAAGGACCATGCACATGTTCCGCATTTTGTTTAGTCTTCTGGCGAAACAAAAAAATGTGTAAATGATGTGTGCTCTATATTTGGGGCGTTGAGGAAGCAACCGTGTCTGTGGTTTGGCTGACTTGTGTGCGCAGCCTCTTGTTTCTGACAAGGCACTGGGTGGCAAAAAAAAAAAAAAATGCAAAGCTCTACAGTGGTTTCTTTCACACTGGCAGACAATTCATCATTTCCCTAACTCCAGCTTTAATTCGCCGTCTTTACAACAACGCTGCTGTTTTACTGTCTCCCCACGCAAAGATGAGCCAGTGACAAGGCGGCGACGGTGATGGGAAACTAGACGAAGCGCATCTTCTGTCCTTTTTCTTTTTTTTTTTTGTGATCGTAACATCTAAGAGAAGTTGGCAACCGGTGCTTCTTTGACCCAAAAAAGGTAAGCCAAAGTCTCCACCGTTTTCTTTAATAAGTTGTTCGGATGCAGCTTTGTTCTATCGGTCAGAATAAGGGTCGACCGGACTTTTCTGGGCCACCGAGGGCGCGTCCGTCCGTGAGAACTTCACAGGGTGAATGTGTTACTACCATCGCAAAATCATTACAATCAAGTTGTTGGAAAATCATTCATACGAGACACTAAGTTTCAGACATTACCTGTAAAATGGATAGCTCAAGAGGAAACACGCAGGACTGCCAAGGTCCCATAGGCGCGCGTTCGTAAAAGCACAGGATAAAAGAAAAAAGCAGAGGTTTTAAACGGCTAACGATTTCTCAGATTTCCCCAAGTTAGATTTTCTTGCCTCATATGAATTTTAAAAAAAGCAGAGAATTTTATATTTGACCACTGCTTTTCCATACAGAATTTCATTGGTCATCCAACATAATCTGAACTTCATTTTTTAAAATCAAGTTTGTTTAAATAAGTAAATACTGTTGAGCCTAGTTTTCCATATTTAGAAGGTTTCTGTTATTTTCATTGTATTGTATGTTATTTATATGTTGGTATGAGCTTACATACTATTGTTTTACTCAGTCCAAAAGTTATATAATTACTAGGAACACTACATTTAACCATTTAAAGCTATAGGGATATTACACAAGAGTAAACAAATACGATCTTTTCTATTTTAATGATGCTTTATCTCCCTTTTATTTCCATTTTTCTCATTTCTTTTTTCTAGCCAGCCATGTCGAACAACACCAGCAACCATTCAGGCCTAAACACCGAGTACCACTCAACCCTCCTGACCATCTACTCCGTGGTTCTGGTCTCTGGAACCATTAGCCTGAGCCTGATGATGCACGTCATGAAATCCAGCACAACATCCACCACGTCCATCGCAGTGCTCAACTTGATCTTCGCTCACTTCATCTTCCTTTTCACAGTGCCCTTCAGGATTTACTATTATTCAACCCATCACTGGTACTTGAGCCCCGGCTGGTGTAAAGTAGTGAGCGCCATGATCCACATCCATATGTACATGTCCTTTATCCTGTACGTGATCATCCTTGTCACCCGACTGTTGACATTCTACCACAAAACTAAGCAAGAAGCCTCCTTCCAAAGGATGCCCGCCCTCATTGGCAGCGCTTTGGTATGGATCGTGGTGCTCGTCACCGTACCGTGCGTCATCCATTTTCATTACGGCAAGCACACTATGAAAAATGAAAAAATAGAGACTAATTACACATGCTTTAGGTTTGGACAAAGCACTCAGACCAGTTTCGGTAATGTGTTCAACTACATTATGAGCTCGCTGATCATACTGGTGGCCACGGTGCTGGCGGCCCTCCAGGCCAAGGTCCTGTATGTTTTGCACAGAACACATCGCCAGGGACAGCAGGACTTCGGGGCTCAGCTCAAAAGCCTCTTCTTTGCCCTGATAATGGTGATGTGCTTCATTCCCTATCACATTTTCCGGCTGTTCTACTTAAAAAACGTCGACGATATGGAGAGTATTAATGAGGTTTTTCTGAGTCTGACCACGTTTAACTGTTTGGACATGCTTACCTTTTTGGGAAGGAGAACCTGCAATATCTGCTTGCCGGGATGAGCTATCTAAAAAGAGCCATTACGCGGAACGTGCATGAGCTTGTGGGCATTTCGCAGGCAATTTGACTGTCTATTAAACAGCTTGCTTTTCTTTTCAGGTCTAAAAAGCTAGGGTTACTTAAATGATCGTGTATTGAAGTTGCTTTTTCATTCATTGTGTGTTTGTGTTTGAAAGATGAATATCAGAAACAGGAAATTCACACGGAGACATTATCTTATCTTATGTATGTTGTAATAGTTTCAGTCTGTTGAAACTCTTTTGTTGTTCTGTAAGCAAGATACTCAAACTTAAAACGTATGTCTGGAAACTGTTGAATTAAAATGCAAGTGCTCCTGCCACCTGCTGGCGCTGGTATGTGTCTGTAATATTTGGTGTTCAAGCTTGATTTTAGAACATTGGACTATTTCATTGAAAGCTCAGACCTATTTTGCATTTAGCCCTTGTGTATAAGGCAAATTTTTCAGCATGATACCTAAGAAAAAAAAGAGTATTTTCGAGAAACAAATACTCAATACCACTAAATATTATGTCAATCACTTCCTCAAACCTCTTGCATGTCATGCCGTGTGCACTCCCAGGGGGTGTCAGAGGCCTGGCCTAACATTCACTCAATCAACACACAAACACACGCACACACACACTCCTGGGGATCTTTCCCTCTTCGTTTTTTATGGCTCTGGGTTACTGTTTAACATCCCCACCCTAGTTTGAGTTTGTTTAGTAAATCGATCAAATGACAGGGCTATGTCGGCGCCAATGTGTTGCTTCATGAATTATAGGCCACTCACGTCTCCAGCCTTCCCTTTTAATGTTGTCGAACACCTTTATCGTTATCCAATGCTCTGTATCCTTTAGCCCAATGGCACGCTGAGGGCTGGTCAGCCTGGGACTTACTGCAGTACACCTGGACACATGCACATACCACACAGAGACACAAGCACAGGTAAGGCAAGCTTTCCTTTTTTCCATGTGTTACTTTTTGCTGGATACAGCAACAGTAATTCTGAAAAGTAAAAAGAAAAATATGTTGAGGCCTACAAGGGGAAAGTAGAGCTACCTAGTGATTGGGGAAGTTTGTTCATAAGTTTGCCTAAATCACGTGGTTTTGTATTTTGGTGGTAATGGCGGGGCTCCTCGCTCGCACGCACACACACACACACACACACACACACACACACACACACACACTGCAGTTGTTGCTTTACAGTATGTCCTGCAGCGTCGACGGGGGGGAAAAAAAGATAAGAAAGACTCACTTTGTCACGAATGCCGTGCCGTAAAGATCATGTGATAACCTGTTTCATCCACGCAAGGGCATAAACAAGAACAAGAGATAGCCCCATTTACACCAAGTTTTCTCTCCGTCGACACCGCTGCGTAACACTGCAACTGAAACGTGTGTGCAGTCATACGACCTAAAGACCATTAAAATGACATTATGACATTATGTCCTCCCTGGAAGAAAGGTTCACGCACTTTTTTCTAAGAACAGTTGTACAAGTTCGGTTTGATAATGTGTCACTACAGTCACTACTGAATACATTATAGCAAGACAGACATTCAGAGAGCGGCTGATTGATTTTTGAGGTTGTCATGCATGATGAATAATGTTAAATCTGTGAGTCATGCCTGGTGTAAAACCTCACGGGAGTTGCTTCAGCCATAGAAATCATTAACTGTAAATGTTTCTCGATCTACATTTCATTGATATAGAGTGGAAATAGACAGTTAAGCGAGAACATTTAATGTTCCTTTCTGCTCACAAAAAAAGAATATCAAAGTGTTACACCGTTGATGGGTTGACTAAGTGACTGTCATTCTGCTGAAACAATCACATGGTTTTCAGGAAGTTGGGGGGGGTTTACAAGAGTGAGTTCAGTGACTGATCATCATCTGTGACTTTTAAAACCTGTAGTCCAAATAGAGGTGGCAGTAATATGGCTCGTTCACACAGAGATTGCCTCTTAGCGCGGGATTTTATGGCCGCAGAGCGTATCTGGTTGGTAGGCAGAAGCAGAGTTTCTCAGCTATGTCCTGGAAGAAGTCATAATAGCCGTTTCTACGAACATGATAACCCTGCTTTGTATAAAAATGGCATTCAGCCGTAAAAGTGTTTGCATCATTTTTCATGCTGGTACGTTCAGTACGTTCTGTGAGACGAACAACAGTCACAGTTTAAAAGGAAATGAACATCTAGCCAGCCTCAGTGTTTCAAATAGTTTATTTGTCACCTACATCAGTGCAGAAGTGGTGCTTATAACATGTATTCAAAATATGGGCAACCAAAAAAAAATCTCTGTAATGACAGTAATAAGTGAGTGATGACGAGGTGCTTTTTGTTTTTGAAATAAAAGGAGAATTCTTTTTGTATGTACAACCAACTTCAGCACATGACGTCTTAGGATCCAGTGTGCACCTCACCTCAGCTCTTGCTTTCATACGTTCTCATTCATTGTCCACTTTCTGAGTCATTGTGTTGAGAGAGTAATAGAATGGCTGTAAAGAGTACATTCTTCTCCACTCAATAAGAACTTGATGAGTCAGTAGGTCTGACCTTACTGCCTGGTTAAAATGTAATCTCTATCACTTCCCTTGCTCTCCACCCTCAATGTCACCCTTTCCCTGCCTCTTGACCAGTTTATTTCAGCCTCCTGTGGAAAAAAAACATATCTTGTCAGCAGTTGGCAAAAAACTAAATGTATTTAGTACTTAATCTTAATTTGTTGTAATGTGAACTCTGATGTACTGCAACTGCACTCTTGACACAGTTTACCAAAGCCTGCAAAAAAAAACTATTCTGGTTTTGTGGTAGGCCTGCTAATTACTGGTGCAGAGCATCACATCACAGAAAAACACAAACTGATTTACTTCAAACTGTTTGACAATGTTTAGGGCAATGAATTTCTTAACAGGGGGGTGGGGAAATGTACTTATGTATAATGGGAGCAAGCAGTAGTTACATTAGATTTGGTCTCAATCTTGTTAAACAGTCTTTCAAATCTATTACTAGGAATATCTAAGTTAAAGTTTGTGTGATGAATGAGTTTTTTAGATACTCAAATTGTATTTTTAATAGATCAAGAAATGTGCAGAGCAGACTGTTAGTAAATGTGTGAGCACGCATGCTTGAGTTAAAGTTATCGTAGTTATCTAATTCACTTTGTGCCTTTATAGACTATATCTGCTGAGGTGGTGGTGCTATTACTCCAGTATTGATTAGATTAGAAATACTGAGAAGGACAAATACTCACGCACGGCCACACCACACACATCAGAGGCGCTTTCATAAATGCATTTGAAAACAACATTCCGTGAAGCATGTGCATGTCTATGTGTATTTACAACTCACAGACTAATGTGAAAAAGCACAAAGTGTCCTCCAAACTCTGATGGGAATTTATCTCAACAAGGATTCATTTTGAAAAGAAAAAAAAAGATGGAGGAAGAAGAAGGGAAATATCTTCTTTATCACTATCTACCCATCCTTTGTGATAAGTGTGAGGGAAAAGGACAGATAAGTAAGGTGTAATAAGGTGAGAAGTCTCAGCTCCAGCTCCGCCCTTCTCCCTGTTCACAGCCCAATCAGACTGGATTATAGATCTGTTATGCCAAGGATCTCTCTTGTCATATCAGCCAGAAATAGATGAAAAAGAGACAGTAAGAAAACAAGTGAAAGAGAGGAGAAAAGAAGAGAATCGAAGTGAAGAAAAGAGGAATGAAGTATCCTCCTGTTCTTCAGACTAAATCTCTTTTAGACATGGAGGTAGCTAACTATTGTGAAGGCCTGGATCCATCATACAACACGCTAGGCTTTGAGAATGCAGAAGTTCTATATGGAGGAGGTAAGTGTTCTCATGGACAGATGCGAGCACATGAAAGCCACAAAATACAAAAGAAACATTTAGGAAAAAAACGGAACAGGCAAAAAGGAAGACGATTGGATTTTGTATTGTGAATTGAGTAGTCTTTCTGACAAAATGGGTTCATCATACTCAGAGCTAGAAAAATAAGTGGGATGTCGTGAGAAGACATGCACTGATTAAAAGAAGTGAAAGCAGCTGATGGCAAATGAGCTGAAAGTGGGAAAATGGTTTTAATACATAACACAATAAGCAAGCTTAAAGTAAGTGGTGAGTAAATTCTTGATATTATTCTTGATATTATAATACACACATGGGTCAAAGGTGCTTGCAAAAACTGTGGTACATTAATTCTAATTACAAATCATGTGCAAATGAGTGTGTAGCAGAAAAGCTGTTGTTTGGGAAAGAAAGGGGCAGTGGCTGAAGTTGACTTGACTCTGAAGTAGAAAACTCTGAGATCTATCTCACAGAAGTTCTTACAGCAGTAACAAACAAACAGGCTTGCACTTAAAGTCGTACTGAACTAAGAGCATGGTAGCATTATTTGCAGGAATTGTTTTAAGATGCTTAAGTATTTAACTTGTACTGTTTAACGTTGACAACAATGCTCCAGAGGAATCCCATTTCAAAGCCTCTTAAACATGGAGACTTCCCTACCCAACCAAACCCTCATTTCTGCAGTATGTATTTAACATCAGTGATCACTGGAAAGCAAGATAACAAAGCATATTCAAACTGCTATCTGACCGCTTTAAGAAACTGCAGTTCAGGTTTCATAGAGAACTGCAAGCAGGACTCCTACAAGGGAAGCGTAAAACCTCTTTGGTGAAACTGAATTGGGCATCAGAACATAAACTGTAGGACCATGATTTTCTGGGGGAGTCATCAAAATGAAGTTCTGACCACCCGATATAGAGTCAGAGGTTCACAAGTCAAGATCGAAAACTGGTCTGATTTTGCATACTGAATTGAACAACTCATCTCTGTTCAAGGCCAAAAAGATAGGGGCACAATAAAAACACATTATTGTTCCTGAGGTACTTTTGCAACTTATGTACCCCATATGACTCCATAACTCAAGCCCATAGCACATATTTGTACTTGTAGAAGCCTTAAAAACTACACTTATGCTCCCAAGTATTAAATAGACAAACTACAAGGGTACAGCAGCAGGACCTTTGAGGGTACCGCCCCAGTTTGGACCCCTATAGGTACAATTACAATTTCATTTCTGAGTGTTGAACACAGGGTTGTATCTTCTTATTTTATTTTGTGTTTCTGCAAGTAGTTCAGATAACCTTTTTCCATGTGAGGAAATAATAGGCACAGTAAAATGACTGTTTATTGTCATTTTGGTTAAATAGCTTCCTTTGTGGGGTAGTGGTCATAAAGAGCAACATTTACAATGGAACGTTTTAAACGGCACAAACTTGGGGTTTTGGCCTTGTCATCGATTTTCCAAACCTAAAGACCACCAACAACCAGTGGACAAAAAATAGCTTTGCATGCAAGACAGCCCAAGAGTCTTGCAAAACTACTTCATGTGAAGTTCTGGTGAAATTTCCTCAAACGACACACACGAGACTCCTGGCAGCGAGCAAAAACTGTTAAAAGACAGTTGCTTAAGTACACCTAAATATACGGCAAGTCAAAAGAATAAATATAGGGCCACTTTCCATTTCTTGACACTCTCGAATAGAAAACTATTGAAATAACAGTAGTTCTTCTTGGAATATTTGAACAGCGCATTATTGTTGCATGAAGGGGTGAAAGGATCTGGTCATTTATGTGTATCTTGGGTACATTCAACAAAACATTTTTCCATGTGAGTTGAAATGTGAAGTTGATCAGGCCTCTGCCTTTTTTATAACATTCCTCAGTTCAAAATAACTTTCAGGCAATCATTACGCCATGGCTCTCTTTTAACAGCAGGGCAATCAGAAATGGTCATTTATGGAGTGACTACATCATTAATCTAATTGTCATTTCTGCAAGGCTGTGGAGTTAAGATTGTAGAGTTTGGAAATATGTGCCATAAACTCAGTTTACTGAAAAGCAAGCACCCACCTTAGTGAAACGCTGATGTCACGTTGGCCACTTGAGCAGAGAGAATCAGTCAAACATTAACTCCTGTCACGTTGGCACAGCCTGCTGTGGGACTGAAGGAGACGCGTTGAAGGAATGTTAAGCCCTCTGAACTAACGCTTATGTTGCGTTCGGATTAAGACCGTCGCCATGTTCTATTAGTCTTGTTTGGTTTGACAGAACAATAAATATGCTGATAATAATGATAACTGTGCTTTCGGCTGAACTGACAAAACAATGATAAGAATACGACTTTGAGGACAATAAAGTGATGACCATAAAAAAATAACACAAAGGCACTAATATTGCATATTAGTGACAGTTTAACTGACATACGTTCTTTAAAAAAAAATGTATTTCCAAGTCAATGAAATGCACCGAAAGGACTTTGCTGTTATTGAATATTCCACAATATGCTGCATCTAATGTTGCGTTAATAGTGTAATTAACATTGACTCTTTTTATTGACTGATAGTGGGAACAATTACAGGTTGATTACTGATCACTTACATTAATAGCCAATATCATCTCAAGACTAAGTTTTATACTACATGAGGGAAAATAATGGTTTGCAACATCTTAAGATGTACTATGAAAAAAAGACATAGCAACTGTTAGTAACATGTTGTTTTGCACCTTTTGCTATGTCTATAAATTTCACTTAAAAGTGCTTTTCAGCTGACTACAGTTACATTTCCTAGCCTATAGGCAGTTCCACAATTAGAAATATACCTTTCAGTATATAAGGAATATGGATGGGTTAATAAATACTTTTTTTGCTGTATTTTTGTTTTCCACTTGCTCAGTATTCCAAATAAATGAGAATGTTGTGTGTGAAAGTGTAAATGTATTCATTTGTGTATGTGTGTTTCAGAAAGTATGCCAACAGAGCCAAGCCACACGGGTCCGGACGGACTCAGCAGTAACTGTGCGATCTGTGGAGACAAAGCTACAGGAAAACACTACGGAGCGTCCAGCTGTGATGGGTGTAAAGGCTTCTTTAGACGCTCCATACGCAAGAGCCACGTGTACACCTGCAGGTACACACACGCAAAACACACATTTAAAAAAAAAAATCATCAACACAACTCACGACAAGACATAACATAACATGTACATCTCCTTAGCTGAATGCCACTGTTTGGACATTATATATGAATGTGCATGCATTTGGATATATGCAAACATCTGAGAGAGTAGCTTTGAGAACTCTCTCATCATGCTTTGGCACATCATGTTGCATAACTTAATGTCACAGGGCAGTAGGTCTTGTCCTGGAAAGCAATACAATATCTGTGTATTTTTCATATGAAGGTTCAGCAGACAGTGCATCGTGGATAAAGATAAGAGGAACCAGTGTCGTTTCTGCAGACTCAACAAATGCTTCAGAGCTGGCATGAAAAAGGAAGGTAAGACTTAAAGTAGAGCATTGAAAATTATAGCAGAGGAGATTATACTTTACTGATAGTGTAAAAAAAAGATTTAGGGACGGAAAACAAAATAGGGTTTCTTATATATTGGAATATGTAAGAAATAGCTGATTCAGATCATCTATGTTTAATATTGGGTATAGTTACATACTTTTATCTATCCATTGTTTTGTTGGGCTTGTAGAATTTATTTGATTGTCGAGGGCAACAGTGGGCAGAGAAACAGGAGGGGACACATGTTGGAAATGTCCATTGGTTGGATTTGAACCCACAATTCTGCATATGGGGAGAAGAGACACTCACTCAAAGACTGGGCCATCCATCTATGTTCTATATTTGTTTAACCCAGTAGAGGGAGGCCTGGGGCCTATCTCTGCTTTCCAGGGTGAGAGGCAGGGAACGACCTGGACGGGCCAATGGGCTTACATGTTTAAATTTAGGCTTATTTTTATATTTGCCACTGAGATGAAGACATGGGTCAAACTGGTGGCACTCAAGGAAAAGACTGTTGTCATAGAATTTAAACACTTCAAGATAGTCGAAATGGGCTCAACCATAAAATAAGTTATTATTTAGTGTGTTTGCGTGTGTTTATGAGGGGTATAGCCTTGGCACAGAGTTTTATGATGCTCTATTCAAACATGTTGTTCTGGACTGCAACTGGTTAACGTTTTACTCCTCTCTGCTGATTCCACTCTGTGAGGCTATGGACCTAACTATTAACTTCACTTATGTATGTTGTTATCATTTTTATGTTGGACTTTCCCCCCTGAGAAGTCTTAACTCTGAGGAAACTTTCCAGTTTTTGAGATTTCAAGAACGAACTCAGGTTAAATTATATCTCATAACCTCAAACGAAAGGGAGTTTGCTTCAATATGAGACCAGCAACAGGGCATACTTTGGTTTGAAAGTGTGTTGATTTTTGTTTTCTGCTCCTTTTGATTTCTTCCCATGTTTTACATAAACATGCAAGACAAAAGTGTTTCCTTCATTTTCAGCTGTGCAGAATGAGAGGGATCGTATTAGCTCCAGAAGAAGTATCCCTGACACCCATGACTTGCCCCCCATTACTATTTTGGCTCAGGCAGAATCATTATCCCAGCAGGTAATAATCAGCTTATGTTTTTTTTCCTTTACAGTGCATTATCTGTGTACTATGTGTGTGTGTCAGCTGATGGAATCTTAATTTCTCTATTTTTTCCCCTCCCCTCTTGATGTAGATCACTATCCCTGTTGGAATGGGAGATGTATCAGAGCTGAAGTCGGCCACAGTAGGAGACATTTGTGATTCTATGAGACAGCAGTTGCTGGTGTTGGTGGAATGGGCAAAGTATATTCCAGCCTTTGGAGAGCTGCCATTGGATGATCAGGTAAACAGATCATGACATCTTTTGTTTAGTTATTTTCAGTTTTTTTTTTTTAATTAGGTGAAAAAAAACATAAAACTTAGCTCCCTTCAGTAGCAAACAGCAAGAACTCAAACACTGAAATATTATTATTTCAGAAGTAGTTTAAGTGTAATTTTTAAGGTTGTGCCAATATATATGTATAAATGATTTCTTTGATTAACTGTGTATGTGTTTGTGTGTTTTCCCCAGGTGAGCTTACTCAGGGCTCACGCAGGTGAACACCTTTTGCTCGGGGTTTCCAAAAGGTCAATGCCCTTCAAGGACTTCCTGCTTTTAGGTAGAAACCGAGCCCTGGAATGACATTTCATTTCTCTGCAATTGTGTGGGTCAGCACTGATGTGTGAAGACTGAAAATGATTAACTAAAGCTTTCTGTTTCTCTGTGACCTCAAATGTGTCTTTTATAAACAGCATTATTCAATGCTGGGACATAAATTGAGATCATAATGTAAACAACATTTTTTTTTTTTAACAACAAACACTATAGCTTACCTTACATATTACCTTTCTTCTGAGGACCCAGTCCAAAACTGATTAACAAAGCTTTGAATAAGGTTCTTAGAAGGTAACAACAAGCCCTGTGTGCACACACAAGTGCCCCACCTCAAACACACCCACACTGTTTTCTGTACCAGCCTTCTCTTCTCCACTCTGCCTCTGACTAACCGCGTTAAATCTGTCTGCAGGTAATGGCAGTGTGATACACCGGAACAGCCCTGAACCTGAGATTTGCAGAGTCGCCAACAGAGTGCTGGACGAGCTCGTCCAGCCCTTTCAAGATATTCAGATAGATGAAAATGAATATGCGGCTCTCAAGGCAATTGTCTTCTTTGACCCAGGTAAATTATGAAAAGTCCATTAAGGGATTGGGAGATTCATTTTTCTAACATATGCTGACAGCTATATTTTACCCCTCATTGGTAAAGAGGGTGCAGTACATCGTGAGACCTCTGGATTTTCTCCAGAGCACGATAACGAAAAAAGAGTCATATTTTTCAGCTTCAAGATTGTTCTTGAGATAGCCCGGATATTTCATGTGGCCGTAGTCTGTGGTGGCTTTTAGGGAGTTTAGTATATTGATTGCAAAAACATCATATCTACATGATGAACCATTTTGTGGTCTCAATACTAGTTTTTATATCATTTGGGGCTAAATTCCGGACATTGTATTAGTTGAAATACACATTTTGGGAAACCAAATGTCAATATATCATACAAACTGAACCTTTAGGATCAGGATCATGCTTTTTTTCAATATAATTCTGACACACAACTTTATACTAAACTATTGATGGACATACATACAGAATAATTACAATGATGTCAAATACAATTTGAAGAGGGGATTTTGGAACAATACTTTTGCTGTGAAAACTGACCCAAATTATGTTTGTTCAGACCAATATGCCCTGGCTACATTTCCCTATGGTAATTTCCATTTCCCTCCATTCTGTCACCTCTGCCAAATGAGAGTCTATGGCCCCCTTTGGCCCTAAAGCCCCCCATTTTGCCTTCATGCCCCTGTTTGACCATTATCCTTTTAGCAATTAAACCCATGTCCTAAATACTGGGTCTCATCACCGATGACCAGCTGACCTTTGCTCGGCTGTGCTGCTATGCACTATTTAACACAGGATGGATCAGGCCATTCCTGGCACAAGCTACCCAGCGCCCGTTCCAATCCCTGATATCTAACTATACTTATCTTTCACTTTCTTACTCCCATTAACCCCCCCTCCACATTTTCCTTGCTGAAACTGCATTTAACCAACTTAATGATGTGCTCTCCACCCCTGGCAGACTCTTGATATTTTCATTTTTTAAATGTTTATTCATTGATATCTAAAATGTACTAATTTCTCTAAGTTCTCTAAGAACAATGCTTTTATCCAGAACGTGAGACGCTATGGCTAAAAGCATCTCCTGTCCATCCCCACCTAATCACACCATCTGTGCTTTGCTTCCTAATTTTTAGATGCAAAGTCTTTGCGGGACCCCTCAAAGATTAAGACCATGCGTCTGCAGGTGGGTAAATTATCAAGCAATGCATTTAAAATCACATTGTTTCACACTTAAGCATCAAAGTCAACACGTACTAATGTAGTCCTCTAACAGTAATAGGTCCTTGGCTTTGTGTGTGTGTGTGTTTGCAGGTCCAGATGAGCCTGGAAGACTACATAAATGACCGTCAGTACGACTCGAGGGGTCGTTTTGGCGAGCTCCTGCTCCTGCTGCCCACACTGCAGAGCATTACGTGGCAGATGATCGAACAGCTCCAGTTCATTAAGCTGTGCGGCCTGGCCAAGATAGACAACCTGCTGCACGAGATGCTGCTGGGAGGTGAGGCTGGCCACCAATTGCGCTCGCAATTTTGTTTACAAATAGGTTGACCTTTAATGACACAACTGCTCAGAAGTGAGTGGAGCAAACTGTGTTGAGGCATTGTTAAAAAGAAAAAGTAAACACGCTCAGCAAAGTTTTCTGGAATATATGCAAAAGTTAAAAAGTTAAAGGCTGTGTAACTTTGCATAGTCCACTTTTAGACAGGGGAAAGCCAAAATAAACTGTACGAGGTATACAATGTGCTGCGAGGGGGATCTGCAGACATCCCTAAGTGTGTATAAATAATAAAGTCTGAAGTTAAAGCTAGAATGCATCAAATGTATTCTCGGGAGAGCCATGACAACCAATTCAAGCAGAAGACGAGGTATGGAAAAAAAGAAATGTTATCTTCCAACGTGTCCCACGGTTTTCACCATACATACTAAAAAAACCTTCCTCGGTATGACAACTTGTCTCAGATGACAGTGTACAGAAAGGGCTGCATTTTAAAACATCTTGTCAGAATGTGGGGCTAATGCACACAAAACAGCAACAACATCAAAACCCTACGCTATTCAAATGTTGCTGAGACAATATTATATTTAGTAACGTCAATGTTAGAGGATAGTGATGCGGCTTATTCCTCCCAGTTTGAAACCAAACAAGTCGTTCATCAGACAAGACAATAAAAAAAGGAAATTATGTCAATCAATAGCTTTTGTGTGTAAAAAATTGTGGGTTGTGTCACATCCTTGACATATCAGAGTGAGTGAAAACATGCGACACATTCACTTAAAAAAAATGAGAAACTGACATATGAGCTGGCTTTGTGCAGCACGCTGTTGTCAGGAATGCCTATGTATCAGCAAAACTAAATTAAAACATGACATTTTCTACCCGCTGCTCATCCGGTGTGTGTACCTGTGGTGTGTTTTCAGGGCTAACAACAGATCCCACACACCTGCAGCACCCGGCACACACCCAGCTCGCCCAGAACCCAGTGACTGGACACACACTGGTCATCAGCTCCATGCCAGTCGTTCACACTCCACAGATAGGTAAGACACTCAAAGGAGGCAAAAAGGAAAACCCTCATTCCAATCAGTTTACAATTTGAAATAAATGTCAGGTGTTGGCCATTCTGCCCACATTCTGAAATCATAAATAATGCATGGACATATAATTAGCTTTTCATGACAAAAATGTATTGTTTGAATTTGTACACTAAATTGCCCTGATGCTTCTTCTCTTCCTCCAGCCTCACCAGACACTCCGATCCCTTCGCCCCCCCAAGGTCCCGCTACAGAGATGTACAAACACTTTCCCCAGCCCCTTTGTCCCGCGGCCAGCCCCTCGCCATCCGCACAGACGGAGCCCTGACTTCATTCCCCAACGCCAAAGACCCGATGTGGAATTACTATCCATGCTATACTCATTATCCTAGCATGAAACATTGTAAAAATACATGTTCATATTTTAACCAGCTCCTTTCCTCCCTTCGTTGCCTGTGAAGTTGCACTACCAGCTTGAGAATGATAAATGTAGCAATGGTAGCATTTGTGGGGCTCTTTCTGTCAGACACAAAGCCAAACTGGGGTTTAACGTTCACCCACCCTCCAGGTTTATGTCCTGGAACCAGAGACAGGTGTTTGCAGTTAAGACTCAGCCCATCAGAAATAGTAGTACAATATCAGGGTTCAGTTTAGCTGTGAACTGTGCTAAAAGTCGCTCGGACCACATAATTCCTCTCACCGTTGCACAACAGCAGGTAAAATGTGATTGTGCAGCTTTAACTTTACTCACATTACTAAAATATTCCAACATGAAAGCAGGATCAGTCATCTGAGAGAATATCATGTTTTTTCTCACAGATTTTAAGTTAAACAGAAAAGAAAAAACATCTAGAGTAATACAGCCATCTCAAGGGTGAGTCTATCAAATGTGCAGATATTCAGAATGATAAAACTTTTGCTAAAGGTAATTTGAATTAATTCAATATAACCTTACATACATTACCGAAGTGAGTTTTTCTTTCATTTTGCCACTCTAAGTGCTTCAAATAAATATTTGCTCCTGTGCCTTTAGTCCAGTCCTCGTGCCGAGAACAAATATGTGCATGAGTTCTGTTGTTTGCTTCGAAAATATGAAAACCACGGAGCACTGGGGGCGCTGCTGCACTGGTCTGTTACCTGCAGTAGTCTCTGAATCACGCTGGCCCTGCCTGGCTTCATCTCCTCCATAAATAAATATGAGGTCAGAGCTGCATGTTAGCAGTGAAGATAAAAGCTTGTGGTAGACCACTGCACGATGAAGAAGAAAATCAAATTGTACCGCCATGTTAAGATTGTAGAAACACAGCATCTCCGTTGGTTTGGGTGGATTTCTGCCTGCTGACAGGTTAACAGAAGGTGATGCTCATTCTTCTGCGGGATTTCAGTACACCTGTCAAAGAGGGGGAGTTTTTTATAATGCCATACATGTTTATGGATCATGAAACTGTGGCTGATTTTTGTTTTAAGATGTATCAAAAATGGTGAACATTCTACAAGTTTATCGTGCCTTTCAGACATAAATGTGCACATGAAGAAGAAAAGGAAAAACCACCACGTGGTCGACGTACCTGCCTGTTCATTTGACCACTTACAGACTTTTTCCCACTTGAATCGAACTGGAGTAACAGTAGAGGTGGTGGGCAGTTTTTATTTTGGAACTTTGGTGCTTCAGATGTGTGCCCTCGTTTTGTTCAGGCTGATTTGGGACAACCTGAACAAAAGTGATTTGTTAGTAACTGAAGCTCACCTAACTCCACCCACCGAAGCCGCTCCAATCCATTAATGAGCTCTTTTAAATGCTCCAGAGTTTGTTCTAGCATTTTTAACTGTCAAGAACAGAAACAACTAACGGTTGGCGTAATCCGTTTATATTTGTACATCCAACTCTTGACTACATTTAGACACTGTGTCTCGCTCTGTGTAAATAGTATATAGACTGTCAACTTTGTGCGCTGGGTTTTGTGTCACTGCAGCACATTTTCATAAACCTATAGCTTACTGATACAACAATGTTTAAAACCATGGCTCGTTTGAGTTGTAGACTTTCAGATATAAAGCCTACGTTCTTTAAGCTGGGATATGCAAGCATATTTTTTAGACTTTATGGTTATTTTATGTTTGGAGTTCATCTCTTGCCAATTTCTGCATGATGAATAAAAATAGAAAATTCTGCATAAGGGAAACACATGGACACACATTTTCTTTGTATATACGTGTGTGTGTGTGTGTTTATAAATATACATTTACTTATACATATGTAAGTTTCTCTGAAAATTGTGTAAATATAAAAATAATTTCTTGAATCTACTAAACAATGTGAAGATTTCTTAATTTCTTTGCCAATTAAAAAACTTTACTATCCCAGATGTGACTCAGAATCACAGTGTGGCTCTGTATTGCTGTTCAATAAGACATGTACTATTTTGTGGGAATGCGTTCATGCCTGTTCTTGTTGTGACATGAATAAGAGACGATAACCAAAGTTGTAAAAAAAAAAAGGGATTCCATTTAAGTCGTGTTGTTACAATTTGATGAAAAGCAGAAGAGTAAACAAAACATTTTCTCTTCTTTCATATTTGATCCTGAAAGGAAAAAGCAATCACGACAGAAAGATGATGGTACGTTGACAGAAATGTAATTCAAAATGGTTACATGCAGTAATGCTGCATGTGGTTTGTCCATTACTCCCTTCATGGAAGCCACAAAGCTTCACCATGGGTCTATGGGTTAGGGATAAACACTCTGTATCCAAAGATTTATTCGGATGCTGCTGAGACTCCACGCTGCCTGATGAAGCTGTTCATCTAAAAATCTAACTATTTTTTTCTCGTTTCCCCTATGAGAAAACATACTTACGTCAAACACAGACAAAAATGGTTATTCGGGCTGAAACTGAGAAGCAGACTGTACTTTTAGACCTGTGATTTTCTTTATGTCCATCCCAACACAATCATTTTCTCGGGTTTATGTGCTATATGTGAGTGTTTGCGTGCGGTGGATGAGATCTGGGGATAAAGCCGAGATCTCTTATTCTCTGTATATATTGTTGTGTGACTCAGAGAAAAACACTCAGGTTATTTATGGCAAAGGAGATGATGTTGTCTAGAATCAACATGGCCAAATCCTTCTATCAACTCCATAATGGACAAGCTACCTGGCTTAGGTCAAAACAACACCACCTACGATGGGCAGATGTGTGTAGGTGCACCAACAGTGTGTGTGTGTATGCTCCTACCTGCAATTTATTTATAATCCGAGCGGGTGCATGTATGTATGCTCTCCTATGTGTGTTTTAGAAAGTGCGTGCGTGCATGTGTGTGTGTGTGTGTGTGTACCCTAGGAGCTTTAATCAAAGGCCTATAGTGAGAGATGTGGGGGCCCTGTCTCTCTTTTTTTCTGAGATAAAACTGAGTGTTAGCATGCCAGTCACATATCTCATCTGAGACGCACCGCTCTCCTCCACACACCTTGCCGCGGCCCACACTGACAGCACGCTATTACACACCAGTATGATGCTCGCTCCACCTGAGGAGGATGACAAGGAGAAAGAGATAGAAGGCTGGAGGAACAAAGGATGGACAGGAATATGAAATGTCTTCTTTTATGTTTTGTGTCCTTTTATGCCGCATATCCGTTTGACTGAATGAGGGTCGATTCTCTTCCTAAATGTTTCTAGTTTCAGCTGTGGCTCAGACGTGTGTATGGACGTGCTGTATTTTTTTTTCCCACCTGTGGTTAATTTTGAGGCACTTTTGAGAGGCAACATTTCGCGAATATGATTTGTTTTTAACCTAAACTTGGAAAATGGACTGGAAGTCCATTTCTCTTTGGAGATCAATAAAGTATATTCATTTCACAATTGAATATACTTGTGAATATTATGTCCAAAGGTCAGAATACAAATATCATAAGGGTACAGATTCCAGTATATTTTTGTAGATTTAATGTAATATTATTTGATAAATAAACCATATTACATTTTTTTTTATGTATAGCACTTATTTTTCCATATATCCACGTTTGTTAAACAACAATTATTTTTTCAGCCAACCTATTTCCCTTAGAAGCACTAGATGGCACTATAATACTACTATTTCCTGATGCGTGTTTCTATAATGATCTTATTTATGAGAAGAGCAGAGCAGCCTCCCATGTATTCTTGATCTACAACAATCCTTAATAATTAATACATGTTTTCTTTAAAAGATTAAAAAACAAAATGTATATATGTATGCTCAGATATAGGAACATTTAAGAAATCAAGAAAGAATGCATTAGAAAGTGTTTCATACTGATTGTTCCCAACTACAATTCAACAGAACAAGTGAGCTAAAAAATATTTGAATGATTTAAACAACAAGGACGATTTATTGTAAGGTTTCAATTTTCGTTCATATAACACCGCTTTGTCAATTCAAACCATCTTTTGGTTAGTTTTGTTTTGTTTTTATCCCCAAAATTGCTCCAGAAATATTGCAAAGTCACACACTTGGCTCTGCACCATGGCGGGTTGGTTGCCGGTGGTTGAGTCTGAGATGATTGGCGTGTGACAGAAACCCCGGATTAGAGCCAGAGATTGCAGACTATCATTCTTCACCAGTGCATCTACCCATAATTCCCCTCTGTCTCTAACATATCCAATGATTCCCTCTTTTCCGGGAGACAAGGTGAGGCGGTATGAATCTCTGCCCGTGCCTCTGGAATTAATTTAAAAAACCTCTCCTGAGTGATTTTCTGTGTCTCTGTCCTGCAACTGCATGCGTATGCTGAATGCACGTGTGGTTTATGGTTGCACCACAAGATGGGTAAAGGAAGGGAAAATACACTGACAGCTTCATTTTCAAAGCTGAGTTCACTTAAATGAGGGATTAAAGCAAGCAGGAGGGTAAGGGTTCACCTCGGCCTTCAGCGACAGCTTTCCCTCCCTCTGTCTGCCTCTCCCTGGTTCGCTTCCCTTAGTTTCCATATTCATTTGTTGTCCTGTACTTTAGCCGTCTTGTTCTCTGTTTAGGTAATATGTTTTTTTGTCTTGTTAGTGTTCTTTTTGCCTGCAGACATAATCCACATGGAAAGAAAAAAAAAAGAAAAAGAAAAAAATGCTTATTGAACTGTCGGTTATATACACAGGGATTTACATAGGTTCAGGGAGCTGGGGTGCACTCTACATCATGTTGATGGGGAACAGGTTAGAGCAATGAAATTAGGGGTTAGGATAATTCAGCAGTGTGCACACACGTGTGTGTGTGTGTGTGTGTTTGTTGGGGTACATTAGGGAAATGAAAAGGGGTGGACCACTGATGGGCTCTGAGATGCAGACTTGTTCGAATAAAGGAATATAGAAAGGACAGGAGACAGAGGAGATGACAGGGTGGATGATAAGATGAGTGGAGCAGTAATGAAAATGGTCCTGTGTACCCCGAGATTACAGAGGGAATGAGATTGGAGGGAGAGAGGGAGAGGCAGCAGGAGGAGGGGTGTTCCGTGGAGGAGGGAACCGGGTTGCAGAGATTTTGAGAGGGACTGAAAAAAATGGAGAAGTATGGATACTCATATATGATGAACCATAGGGAAAGTGAACTGGAACAGACGTGGTGTGTTGGCGTGAGAGGGGGAAAAAAATTGAAGAGAAGAGGAGGAGAGAAGAAGAGGTATTACAACTCAGGACGATGCAGCCCCACTCTGAATGATAAGTGTCTGGCACACTCCGGGTTATGGGAAGTTCACACAAACAAATGACTCCCATTTGCCAGAGGCGAGGGACACAATTGAGAAAGAAGGGACGCGAGGGGAGAGAAAAAGGAGGGATGGGAGAAGGAGGAAGAGGACTGAATGCCGGTGCCACGATTTCAGATGACTCCATCTGCATTTAGAGAATTCTTACCTTTTTGTTCATCTAATGTTGTCACAGGTTCGCTGCAGACACTAAAACACCTTCAGCCTAAAGGATATTAGGAATACCTGTAGTGAGACACAGTGGAAGTCTGGGCTCGCTATCTTAAATTACAGGAGGCCTACGGACCTCGGTCAATGATGCTAAATGTGTGGCAAATTGTAGCACGCAGGTGGGCTATGTTTTGCACCATGAGAGGTGATATCAGACAGTAATAAGCGTGTATGAATATTGACCTTATTCATACACTCATGCACTAAGCAGCATGGACTCAAAGCCAAGACTGGATGCCTCTCTTTGATGCCTCTCCTCACATTCCTATTGTAACTTCACAAAACCTCCATTATCAAGGCTGATGTGGTTTTAAGTCAGGTGCTTTATGGCTTTGTTTTAATGACAAAGAACACTGAGGTATTACAGCTTTGTTCATGGTCGAAATGCATCTTCTGACTAATAGAGTCTATGTTGGCAGGTTTTAGAAAAGCTTGCAATGATAGTAAAATAAATCACTGGAAAAAGTTATATATGCATACCACGCTTCTCATCTTAGTATCGTGTAAACCAGTGATCAACATTTGCTAACAAGATGATTTTGAGAATTGCGACCTGTCCAAAGCTAACCCCGCCTCTCTCCAAAGGACAGCTGGGATATGCTCCATCCCCCCCTGTGACCCCACTAGGCAAGAGCCGCGTAGCAAAAGAATGCATGGATGGTTGATTTGGAGAGAAAATTCATTTTGCTTGCTATCATCACAGTTTGAAATTTCATAATCTGACCATTAACAGCTAAGATATTACATGTTACATTTTATGGAGCCACTGGGAGATTCAGTCATGTTTCTTTGTGAATACTTATTTCTAGGTCTCTTCAAACTGCCCGACAAGCTGCAATTCCAGCACTGTCGCCCAGATAGCCGTTGAAATAAAATACACCTATGGAAATAGTGCATTTCAAAATGCATGTGAAAATTGCGCGATGACTGGCAAGGAACAAAGAATGCGAACAACATTCAACCTCAGCATCCCTGGCGTTATAATTAAATCTTGTTATTGGCTCTGACAATAAAGCAGGACGGTGTTTTGACCATTTTCATGTTCAGCAGTCGGGGAAAAACTCCATCAGAGTGGCGGCAGAGGTGACAATTTCTCCAGTGGCACTTGCATCAAGAGTCCATAATGTGATATTGCTTTCATAAAACAAGTTGCTTCTTGGGTATTCCATAATCATCCCCTTTTCTCAAGTGTGCAAGCTTGGATTCTGTCTTTTTTTTAAATTTTGTCATCTGAGTTGGTTGCACTTGACACAGATTAAGTCCAAAAACCTCCAATTCAACAGGTTCAGGGATGTTCTCTTGAAGTTTTCAAGCAAAATTGGTAGGATGCAGATAGAGAATTACATGTTCCTATACTAAGTGGAGAAATACAGTTACAGCAAAGAGAGTATGCAAATTCTTTTTTTTTTCCCCCACAG